ATCTCACATTTTTAATCGTCGTTTTAGCAAACTATTTTTACATATATTCTATGACTAATGCGTTCATACAATTCATTTGAATATGGGAAAGCGTTTTTTAATTGCTTGGAATTTCCTCCAATTGATGTGGGGCTATTGTTTACGCACCAAAGTGAGACAAATTTTCGAAAACTGAAGCATGGAAATGCGCACAGCTGGAGATCGTATATATGTCACTGCAATCTGAGGGCATCTCGAGCACCCGGAGAGCGTTGCATTCACCACTTGGCATCCTGTCGCCGTCGTCAAATGGGAGTCAAGAGCTCAAGCATTAAACTTTAAGTCCCCGCCGCCGGCTAGACAAATGTCCCTCACATGTTGATGGCTCACAAATGCAGCCATCCATGTGTGCCTACACAAGCAAACAGATTGTGTATGTACAGATTGCCATATGCAGACACACTGAGAAAATATCATGGGAAATCAATCAGAGTCTGAAGAAATTTAAATTTTGTAAGACCTCTTGAGTCAAGGTCTTATAGGTTAAATATCAAATTAAATTTAAATTGAACGAATGCATTAGGGTGTGTAATATCTGTAAATGTCTCAAGGTCAGTTTTTCATTGCAATTAATTGAAAGCTCAATTAAATCAGAAAGATATCTGAGATATGGCAATTTAAAATTTTAATTTGAAACTTTGATAAAATTTTTAGAGTGCATGTATCATGCTGAGAGCCACGGAAAACTCGCCCTGTCCCAGATGTCGAAAAATGTGAGTCAGCGGCTTGAAGGAGTTTCGCAGACTGGCGGAAAAAATCAAAAGTAGGGGAAGGGGGCTTAGGAAAACCCAGACGGGTTTTCTGCTGCTAACATGCCGCAATTACAACATGCTGAGGGAGTTTTTCTCTGCCGACAACATTTTGCGATGCGGTTTGTGGGTGAAACTGCATAGGCAGCAAACTTTTCCCATTTTCATTTCCATTTCCACTCCGAGACAGCACGCACACACACGTGGGCAAACAAATTGCAGGGCAATGCTAAATAACGATGCCAGACAGATATTTAGTCGAATGCAACTGTGCGGGGGTGTGGATGTTAATGTTGTGCATGCCATCGCAATCGCAATCGCAATATGAGACCTCGCAAGCAGCGGATGCGGATGCAATCTGCCGGAGCCTCCGGCGGTTTATCCGCCTTCTTCTTTGGATTTACGAGCCATATCTTACGACCCGTCTTGCCCAATTCCTGCGGCCAAGGCTTGGGCGTTGGCCTGCACTCACAGAAACAAATAATAATCCTGGGTTTCAGTCAAATGAAGCCTTTCTGTCCGATAACGACAGATTTTTCTTTTGTAATAGTATTAAATGCCATAAGATGCTATCAAGCACTAACTAAGTCTAGGTAACACAGAACATAGACCTGTGACTCAGCAATGCAAAATATAATTACCTTGAAAAATAAAAATTAATCAATTTTATTTTTATTCTAGAATAAATGGAAAAACCACATCTTTATTTATAAGTCTTCTTCAGCTTAATTTGCTTTAATGACAATTTTGTATTATTATTAAATTATTCTTGTGAAATGATGTCAAACAAACTTAAAATATCGAATAGAAAATGTATAAAAGAGAATTACAATTACAATTGCACTTTTGTTATGAGCTGAGGGTAATTTCTCGCAGTATAAGGCCACAAAGCCATAATTAACTCATCCACTGCAGCCTGCGGCGGTAGAAAACACATAGTTGCCTATGTGCCATCGTCAGGACACGGATGGCGGAGCTTCCTGTTGCCACATAAAGTGCAGAGCATTACTCATAACCCCAAAAGAGGGATCATAAGAAATGGGAAGAGGGGGGATTCGACTGGTGGCACGACATGGCGACGACAAAATGCATTCAGCTTGATTGAAGGACACAGCAGACTGAGTGACAAACCAGCAAACCCCGCAAATTGGCAATTAAAATGCCAAGGGGGAAAGGTAGCTCGCAGAAAGTCCGTGAAAGAGAGAAATTAAAATGCAAAATAGAAGAACAGGGACACGCCCAAGCGAAGAGGGAAGGAAAGGACCTGCCTATTTTATAGCCTTCTTGCGGGGTTGGTCACTCTCTCGCACGCTAAATAATTTATGAATACATATTCCTTAGCTGTGTATAAAAATTTAATTACGCGCCTTTTGTTTACATTTTCACAGGCCAGCTGGCCAAAGTCCAGTTCCTGAACCCTGGTCAAAACGAGTTTTGTGCACGCACTCTCCGAGATTCCTTGGGCCAATGGACTTAATCAAAAAATACAATATATTTGTGTTTTACTTTTGTAAGGAAGGGAAAATATAACAAAACGTAAGAAAGAAGAAAAATAAGACAATACAACAAATTTTTGCGCTATGACTCAGTTTTCTTGGGTATTCAAAATCACATTTCGAGTCATTTTTTTGTTCAGTTTTTAATACAAATTTTTAATGAGCGGTAATACATACATTTTTTGCTGATCACAAATTACGAGGAATTTTGCTGCTCACAGTGGATTTATAAGTAAAAATATTAATTTCATTCCATCAGGGGGCAATGCAAAAATGTACGTCTTAACCATAAATTAGAAATAGAACTTTGTTAAAGTTCGCTTCAGTGCTACATTTTTCGACATGTTTCTGGTTTTTATCCATTTACACGGGCAATATATAAATTCCAGATACTCGCAATATTTATAGAAATGGTTCCCCATGTGCAAATATTTGCGAGAGAGGTTGCACCTCTTTATCACTGAATTTAAAATACTTTTCTCACAAGCTAAAACATATGTGTAAATAAATTGGACCTTCTGGAGGTAAAATGATAAAACCTAACTCTTACAGTCTATAATGGATGGTTTTTGTGTGGAAACAACTTAATCGTAAATTGAACTTATATATGTATGTACACACATACTTTTTTGCCAAACGATTTTGATTCTGAATGGTTAGTAAAAGTCGTTTCTTATCGGTCCAATTTAACTTAATTAGCTTTTACTTTCATGAAATTGTAATAACAACCTTAAACATTTGGCATATATAAAAAAATGTTGACAATACATTTAAAGGAAAAAACATTCCCCGATAAGTAAAATAATTTTCAAGTGTTGTTAGATAAGATTTTCAAACTTATTAATGAGAAAGAAATATTTTTTTGTCATCGCTTGAATAGTGACTGCTAAGCTGTTCTGTTAAGAAATTTTATATTTAAAACCGATTTCTCTTTAAATTATTTTTTGCGATTTAAAAATTGTTTAATAGAAAATCAGTTGAACGTAAAGATAAGTAATAAATCGCAGCTCTAACGTGTATCGAATATTCAGATCGCGGGGAGCAGCGAGCGGGAGTAAAAGAGAAAGCAAAAAGCTTAAGCTGCTGACGTGACGTTAGCGGCAAATCTTGGGGTCACTGTACGGACCAATAAATGTAACACCGTTACCGTCTGCCGCTTCGCACCGCCACTTATCAGTGGGCCAGAAGCACAAGTGGGCGAAAAGTAACAACAACAGCGGTTACGCAAACAAGCAAACAATGTTCTAATGGGCCACTGAAAAAAATTTTAAAATTCATATGAGAGAGAAAAGCTATTGAGGGAGATGGATATACAAGAGCAAAAAAGAGAGAGTGGGAGCTTAACTTGGAACCGGCAACAATTAAAATGCAGAGCTTTGGATGCCAGCAAGCGTGTGATAGAAAATTTAAAGTGGTGCAACTAACTAATTGGCTGAGCTGAAACTGAACTGTTTACATTTTCATATTGATTTAGACAAACAGGTAAATAGTTGAACATTTTTGCAGATTTTTAAAAAATCACAAACAATTTTTTTTTTAATTTTAAAAAAAAAGGATAACTTTTTACAATCAAACTAGATATGTATGTATGGAATGATAATTGCTTGAAGCTATGGTGGATAGGTGCCAAATTGCGTTTTCTACTGTCAAGAAAACAAAACTTAATGAGTATGATTTATTATTATTTATTAAAAGTAAATGTTGTTTTAATAAAATTACTAATTTATGGTATTTGTTCTGAAAAATGTAAAACAGTGTTTTTAATTATTTCATCCGTTATATTTCAGTCTCTCCACTGTGACCGTCTTCAGGGCAAATTTTTTACACGTCTGCACCGTTCCAATGTGGACTCTTGTACTGACTAATAAAAAAAGTTTTTTATACCTACGGTGGGCAAAGTTACAGAAACGGTAAACTAAGTTCCTTAGGGCAGTTCTTTGTTTGACTTTTGCATGCAATACTACTACACATTTTGAGGTCTTGAGCCAAGCATTCGATGATTCACAAATTATTTGTAACTAATTTAATTCTTTTGATCAAATTAACAACATCAAATATGGGCGTTTATAGAGCTGAAAAATTATAAAAAATTCACAGATCAGTGGTTCTACTTTTCAGTGCTACGGAAAAAGAAAAGAGTGTAGGTTCCACTGTAAGTGATTGAGTAAACACTCACTCACACAATTTTGAGCAAACATTAACACGAGGGAGAGAGACAGGAAGATATACTGAGGGAGATGGAGCAAGGCGGCACAGTGGAACGGGCCAAGGCCAAGGTGCTAAAATAAGCGAAAAGGAGCAAAGGAGCCAAAACGGTGGCAGACAAACAGGCATGCGTGCCACTGTGCCTGAACTTGTTCAAGGTCAGTCCTCAGCGGTAGCGACATGCTAAAAAAAAATGAAGAAAATTCCAACAAGCAGAGCATACTACAAGCCTGAAACAACAACAAAACCGCGCTGGCCAAGTTAAAGGCGATGAAAAGAGCGAAGGAAAAGAATATAAAAAAATTCCACGAAGCACACAACACATGGAAAGAGCGGGGCGAGAGAGCGACTTTACGTCCCCACAGCAACAACAATGGGCTGCTGTTCAATGATGCTGATAACGAAAAAAGACAAAAACCCTTAAGAGCACAAAAGACAAAAAAAAAGATCTAAGCCCAAGTGCTGGCTTAATTAATTTCTTAAATTTTATTTTTTTTATGATTTTATTTACCTGTTTGTTGTTTGCCGTGCTGCCTCTTCATTTGTCTGCCATTTATTATCCTTCCAGAAAAAAACACGCAACTTGGGTGTTTTTTATTAAATTAATTTCCAAGAGAAACACACGCACTCGCACCCATTTTGGGTAACAGTTAACAAACAAAGTTGGAGCGTGAGAGACAGCAAGTCGGGAGTGCTAATTTAACACACACGCGCACACAGTTGTGAATTTTTTATATTTTTTTGGCATCAATTTGTTGTTGGCAGCTGGAATAATACATTTATTTAACACAATTTTCATGCACACATGACACACCAATACACACGCGGCGAAAAGGAATGCCAAAGGAGAAGAAGAAGAGGCAGGCTGAAGGATGCTGGGCCTGGATTTCTTTTTTCGCTGCGCTTTTTTGCCGTTAAGCTTTCTTTTGGAATCACTTTTATTTCGGTTTTATTTGTTGACGAATGATTATTATTGTTTATGAGTAATGCTGCTTTTTAACATTTACTTAAAAAACATAAAAACCGACGCCACAAAACGGAAAAACCACTGCGCGGTTATAAATTATTTATCATCGTGTAATTTCAATAATTTCAACAATTTTAATAACGGTAACTATATTATCAGTAGAAAATTACATACAAAGATGTACTGACACCGGATGTTATTTGCTTCCTTTTTTTAGATATATTTTTTAATATTTTTAAGTGGGAAAGAAAACACGAGTAGCGCGTCTAAATGAAATTCAAAGAGTGAGAGGGTGCTTCGTTTGCTCAGACATTTTGAACAGTAATGCTCTCTTGTACTGTTACTCTCTCTTGTCTGATGTTAATGCGGCGAAATTTTCTGTTAACTGCGACAGTGACGTAGGAACTAAGGGGGATAGCAAATAATTATCGACAATTCAAACAAATTTAAGCTACAAAGCCATTTTTCACTTAAATTATTAGATAGTAATTTTAAATAATTCTTAACTACAACCACTTGTTGACATTATAAATTTGAAACCTTAATCTGTTGCCTGTATACATTCTTACGTTCAAAGTTCAAAAAGGGTTGAAAATTGTAGTTGCAAAATCTCTCTTAATAATTCTCAGTCAACCCCCAAATGCTAAAACCTTTATACGCCACTGAAATGTTAACTAGGAGCGAGGCAGTGCTCTCTATTTTATTTTCGCAGGCGCGTGTTTAGGGATGAAAGTAAAATATCGATATACACTTAAATTTTTGGGGTGACCATTGGGTCGATCGCTTATCAAACAAGCAAAACCTAAATATTAAAATTAGAAAGATTACTTTAAAGTACTCATACGCCACATATGCTAGCTAAAAAATTTTACTTGCTAAAACTGCACAAAAAATCTGCTTAATTTGGAATAAATTACAAAAAATTAGGTTCATTCAAAATATCAACCACCATTTGCGATTTTAATCTAGCCTTGCGATAATTCCTTATCAGTGAGTGATCTGATTAGAACTGTTAGATGGTTCTTTGTTTGAAATGTCAGTCGTTAAGCAACCTCATTCGTATTTTTTAGACGATCAATGTTTTAGATTTATGCTATCGATAACACAGTAGCAGTGCAACTTCCATCTGCAACATGCAACAGATAGGGACAATTTGCAGAACAAAGACATATTCGCAAAGATGAGTGAATCAAGAAATAAAGAAGAGTTTTTAATTCCCACGGTCAGGGAGGTGCAGCAAATGTTTGCCGAACTCTTAAGCCATGGCGACGATATAACATGGGACTTGTAAGTTTTTTCAAATTCAGCTTGACCTAATATTATAAAACTGAATCTGACTCAACAGATTGTCCGCCAATCAGGGGAACATTTTGAAAAGCAAAGTGAATGAGTTTAATGAAGGTTCTTCCGAAAGGACACCTTTTATGTTTTCTTCGATTTGGGGCCAACGTAAGATAATCGAGTTTTCTAATTTTTATTTGCCTTAACTATGTTTTTCCATTAGGAAAGTTTACAAACGGCCAGTCGCTCACATCTCAATTTTTTGTAATGATAGTGGATAATGCCACCAATCCAAAATTGGCGGAGCAAAGCAGATCCTGGCATCTATATCCGGTTTTTCGCTGTCGACGTTGCGTGGGTAAGCTTTGTATGTGAAATATATAATTTTTAGTTTAAGTTTTAATATTACAATTACTTTTAGAAGACGAAAACATTCAAGCCAGCAGCTTGAACTGCTGCATGGTGTATGTCACTCAGCACTCTACCTACTCCAATTGGAATGAATTCCTCAATCTGACAACTTTAGGTCCTGGTGTAATGGTGACCCCGAATCGTGGAGTCTACAAACTGATCGATGGTCAGGTTGAGCTTAAAACATATTTAATCGAGGAACAGCCTGTTTACAGGATGGGTCCCAAGTCTAGAAATCGATCCATAACTCCCGAGTCTTTGGCAGTAGCCTCTAAAACACAAGTAATCCGTGAAAATCACAGACGTAGTCCAGCTAGAATATTTACAGCTACGATAGAAACTTCGGTATCATTTTTGAAATGCGAACGGATGCTAAATTTGCTCTTGGTAAGATTTTATTACCATCATATTTTAATATTTGCTTCAGAGTTTTATTTTTTTTTATTGATTTAGAATCCTCAAGATGTCCAGCAATCTTGTGATGCGAGTGAGTTGTCCACATCTTTAATTTTATTTACTCACAGCGTTAACAATTTACGCTTGGCATCGTCAATAATCAAAACAAATAATTCTCCCAAAATCTTGGTTGATCGACTTAAGTAAGTATAAAATATTAAGTATGTTTTTAAATACCAATTGAACCGTTTTTTAGATGTGTTTTCACCAAGATATCCGAGGAATCAGCTCGAAATGAGGGCAATATGGATCTTATACGTAGTGCCAATACAGTGCCCACAAAAGAAGAGCTCGATAAGCTGTTTAATCCCAAAAAGAAAATACTACAAAACAAAACTAATAAATCCAATAATGAACCTATGGATTCACCAGAGATAACCACTGTTAATATCAAAGGAGAAGATATTAAACTTGAAGACTATGGCACCATCATAAATAAACACATTGTTTGCTCAGAAAGCTTTGAAAATCTGATAATCTGCATGACTGAAAACCTGGAACCCGAAATGTTTAAACTGATTCTACAGCTAACGCAAACTTTTATGGAAACCACCAGAATGGAATTAATTAAGCTGCTAAAATACTTTTTTTCCACGGAAAGTGTTCTTTATCAGATCATTTTGTGTATAAAGAAACATCACTCGAACTTGGACATCAATGAAGTTGAAGAGCAATCGCCAGAAATTTTAAGGCGTGTGCGATATTTCTATGTCTCTTGCAGCCCAAATTCTCGACCTGAATTTATGAAGAAGTGCGAAAAATGTGTCGGTTACTACGATGTCTTTAATAAGTAGTCAGTATTTCAAGATTTCACTGCCCCATTATCTGTATATAATACACGAGAAATTGCAATTTGTATTTTTTATACCTAACTGATAATAAGTTGAGAGTAAAGAATCAAAAATAAAGAAATTGCATTTATAAGCATTGTCAACAATTCTATATTCTAAGCTGGGGAATGAAAGAGTGTTTAAGCAAATACAATACGTATATCGGAAGTGATCTACAGCTAGGGATTATCTTATTAAGTATGGTGGCCACCGATGTACAGGGTATTTAGATAAGTATATATAGCATTGACTAAGACAAGACTAAGCCTAGTGATTCGATAATGATGAGTAGTTGTACATGAAAGCGATCACAATTGTCAGATGGAGGCGTGTGCGTTGACCTTAACGATCTAACTTATTGCTAGCATCTTTAGGCACTTTTCGGCCTGCTCTGCCGTCGGTTCAGCAGGCTGGAAAGATTGCTGAAGGGCATCTCGAAGGCCAGCGAAAAGAGGATGGAGGCCAGGTAGACGATGACAGCGAAGCCGCACGTGACCACGCACTGGAATAGCAAATAATATTTAAATTAATGTTTATAAAAAATACTATATTTATATTACCAACCACTATAGAAACTCATAATATAATATCCAATATTGGGGAAGTGTTTGGATAAAAGGTTTCTGATAGAGCTTTCCACCAAACACTTCCCCAAAATTATTCTAATTTGGACTCTTAGCCATATATTTTCCAAATATTTTTTCATTTAAATCTTTCCTTACTTACACCCCAAACTACAACTTCAAGAACTTAAACAGTATTTAAGAAAGCAACTAAAATACCTCCTTGAAATATCATCCAACTGGTACAAACTATTAGAGTCCTCACCATTTTTACTGTAGACCCACATAAATAGAAGAACTCAGGTATTAAATCCATATCATTACCAATTTTTCTGCCCTTTCCCCACACAGAAAAGCTTCCTTCAAATACTACTACTATAAACTACTTTCTTACTTAAGTCAAATATAATCAATCAAATATAATGAGTGTTAACAAAATATCAAAAAATAGAAAAAGGCCTTTGGTTGCTATAGTTTCTATAAATCTGCGTTAGCTTGTAGTTTATTATAGATAATAAATACTCACCAGCATGAAGGGATCTGCATGCGTGCTGGCGTTTGTTAAGCTGTAGAATAATGCGATGACCAGCGGATTTAGCAGGTAAATGGCGTAGGACAGCCGACTGACATGCTGAAAGCCCTTGGCCTCCAGCAGTCGTGACCACCACACCCCCCGCCCACTGCAGCTGCGCGCTATCATCCAGCATACACTCAGCGAAAAGAAGAGGCGACCCATCACGAAAAGCGTGATGGCCATCAGAGGGCCCAGATCTCTTTTCACCGTCGAGTAAATGCAGGCGAAGAACACCAATAATGCCAGATGCCAGCAGAAACGCTCCCTAGAATCACTGATCTCTAAGTGGACTCTCTTTTCCAGGAACAACCAAGCTGTGGCTGCTCCCAGGATATATGGGAGGACTCTCACAAAGGGTGAAGTGTAGATTTCCGTTCCGGTGGCAAATGCAGCATCAAAGGACAACTGAAACTTGATGCTCAGGCCGATGCTGTAGGACCAGGCAATGGTGGCCACAAAAGAAGAGGCCACCAGGGCTTTCACTACCTTTGGATATCTGTTTGTCAAAGAAACATTATTAATTAAAAAGTATCTGTTCTAATGGACAAAAACACATACTTCACATAGAGAAACAGCAGAGCATTGGCCAGGATAAAGAACTGCATTTCGCAGGCCAAGGACCAACTCCAATTGGCGCACATATCCCGATGATCGAACAGGTTCTGGATGAACAGCAGGTTGCGCCACCAGTGCTTGGAGCACATCTCGTCGAACCGCTCGTTGATGTGGTAAACAGAGACGTCTCCAATGTAGGCGTACACCAAATCCACGGTGGCCATGACCACCAGATAAAGTGGTCCAAGTCGCAAATACCGATGGAAGAGCAGTTTGCCAAAGAGCTTTACATTTTCACTCAAACTATTCCGTCGCACTGTCTCCAGTTGCTGGGAATTTCTCAGGAAGTTGAACGTTTGCAGGAAGCCACTGGAAAAAATCATGAAATACTTTTAGAATAAATGTTAAGATAAAACACTTTTTTGAAAAAAAAACAGAATTAAAAAAAAAAATGTAATAAATTCATATACAAAATAACTTAAAACCGAAATGAATGAAATTCTATTCAAAAAATATTTAAACTGAGTACAAAATATTTGGATTTACTACATTTATATATAATTTTTTTATATTTTAAAAGTAATCCCTGTTTGTTTTTTTTTTAAATTATATGAAAACATCTGCAAAGGTGTTTAGCTCTTATTATATTTTCTGTATGTTTATTTGCTAAGTTAAGTTTTTCCCAGTGTATATAAGCCCACCTGATGGTAAAGAAGACGTCCACGAGCAGAGGCGCCGATGAAACGTACTGGAAAAAGGCCTGTTCGGCATACGAAATCAGCACCGTCTTGTTGTGAACCGTGAAGTACATGAACCACACCACGTGGAACACCATTATCCAGATGGCGCACACAGATCGCAGTCCGTTCATCAAGGGGATTTCATTCGGAGAATTCTCACGCACCGCAAATATCTTGGTCCAGTTGGCGGGCACATCCCAGCAGGGTATAAACTTCTGTAGCCTTTCCAATTGCAGAAGGGAGTTTAGTCCACGCCACAATTCAGATTCAGCGGGTGCTAAGCCAGGTTCGGGTTCCTCAGTGGAAGATTCCAATTTTTTGGTGGCCGTCAGTTGCTGAGCACAAAGCATCAGCACTCCAGTGGCCAGGACACAGGCCACCAAAAGTCGGAAGCTGGCTCTCTCGAAGAATTCCTCCTTCAACTGCAGATCCTTCATATAGACCACTTCCGGTCGGATATCGAAGATCTCGTTTTCAGCAAAGGTCCCTCCAGCCACGTAGTCCTGGGCCAGACTCTTGACCTCCTCCGAACTGCAGGCACTCGGGAGGCACAAGCCGATGTGGATTATCTGCTCGGACATTAGCTTTATCTCCACCTGCCAGGGTGAACTGTGCCGCAAATACAGTACCCGGTAGTCCATGTCAAAGGGTGCCTTCTGGGTAATAATTCCGTAGTGCATCACACGATCGAAGTTCTTCGACAGGGTTATGCCCACGGGTCTTTGGACACCGCGACAAGCTTCCCGACTTCCCAGCCAATAGTTCTGGCCATATACGAAGCCCGAGGGTTTCGTTCCCGATGCATCCAAAACTGTGGGGAAATTGTAAGAAAATCCATAAAGTTAAGTAGGTATATATATAGGCATAGGGGTATTAACCTAAAAGGTTCTGTATTAAAAAATTCAAGCTCCATTAAGAATTGATCTTTAATTGTTGTCCCTAGCTGTTGAGCCACTATTGACTTACCAATTACCACTTTCCGTGAATCATTGTGTTTTCTGTATCTAAGTTTAAAAAAGATAATTTGTTTACTATTTTAATTGGTAAAGTACTCTGAAGTACAGAACTTTAAAAATATTTCCATAAGTTATTCCACAAAACCCCCTTAATGAATCACTGTCTTATCCTAACGAGTTATTTGAAGAGTGTAGTTGTAAGGGTCCACATGTAGTTATGACCTTCCTAAGGTGCGAATTTCAATAGAAAACAGTTGATTTTGTGAATCATTTATTTTTCGTTTAGAGGGCATGTTTATGTAAAAGCTACGGTCCAAATAAAGGTGTCATCAAAATATTTTCAACATATTTATTTAATAATCTTTATTTGCTTTGATGATTATAGGCTTCTATGAATATACGCACAAATATTTAAGAAGAAAGGTCAATAATTAGTAAAGATTACAGAACACATATGGATTGATTTATTTTTGTGCAATGTTTAATTGTTTGAAAAAATATTGACGCACCGAAACTTTCTTTTTACTAAACACACTTTACTATTGAGTAATAAGGAATTGATTTGTTTCCTTGCTTTCCTCTTTCTTCTTAACTATTTATCTTTTATTGTGCAAAAATTGGTTTTGATTTTTCTCATTTACCTTTTGATTTACCGAGGTGTTCTCTTATATCAAGTTTCTCCATTTATGTTAAAAATGGCTACTTACATTCCTCAGGGTTTTTTAATCTATACCATTTTAAAGTTGATAAGTATTTCTATCTTTATGGCCCAAAGCATATGGGGTTTTCTCGGGGTTTCTTCCACTTAATAATAATTTAATTTGGATTTTTCCACTCACCCTTCATGGCCCATGGCTGTTTGCCCAGTATGCCGCGCTGCACCTGTCGCAGCTGCGCATGGCACTTTTGGCTGACGCTGCTCTCGTTGGCCACTTTTGTGAGCCCAAAAATGACGGAGGTGCGCGTCAAATGGGTTTCATGCGGCGAACTCACAATGGCCGATTTGGTTTCCAAAATCTCCAGTTCATCTGGCACCGATTGCGATTCATTGAGCAGCTGACTTTGATATCGCTGCTGTTGGTGTTGCCAGGTTTGTGAGGTGGTCTGATTGCTGGCGCCCTTGGCCAAAACCGAGCCCAGCCAAAGGCCGAGCAGCATCAGCAAGACCCATAGATATGGTTGAGAGGTGCGCCTGATCTCCATGCTGCTGCTGCTGCCGCGGTACTTAGTCACCTTGGCTTATATTTATATTTATTTGTATTTATTTGTATTTATTTGTTTTTGTTAGTACCCGAGTGCGCGTATTGTGCGAGATATTTGGTCCGCGCGCTTGTTTGGCTATCTCAAATGGCTTGTTTGATTGCTGTTTGCCGCCGTCCGCCGAAGGTCACCGCACTACGATTCACCTCACCTCAACTGGCCACGCCTCCTCGCCTCGTCGCCCCTCCCGGATTTCAGCTACCTGTGGTATTGATATTGGTTAATGCTTGCCAATTGATGGGGAGAAACTTTCGTCGGCCATCGACGGCCAATAAGCACGTTTTTCAAATCGCATTTTAGTGTAGTATTTCCCACTGACACACATTGCACACCAAGTTCGCTGCTCTTTGCATTTGCCGATTGCATTAGAATATTACGCATACGCAGAGTGTACGGCACTTGCCGGTTAAATAATCTTCATTTGGCAAAGGAAGCCGAGAAAATGAGGGCGAGTTTCGAGCAATAATTAACTTTTAACGTCCGTATTTCATTATGAATGAATTGCAGCTTTGCTTTTAGCTATTAGTATGTCCGAAAAAAAAAAGATTTTGCAACATACTCAGACACAATGTAGCACCAAAATGGGTCAACATTTAATTATCATTTTGTTTATATATTAATAAACTCATTTATTTTATATATATTAATTTGAGCAACAGGCCATTTCACAGTCCCATTTAAGTTTTTCTTGATTTTTTGAATTGGTTAACAATTAATTTTGCTATAAACTACAAATTGGTGGCTATTCTATGTAAAAATTTCTTTTCGCTGTGTAAAAATGTAAACAAACTTGGCCAAACACGCAACACACGCACTATAACTTACTCATCATCGATTCAATTAGAATATTACGCATACGCCGTGTAAGCCCAATTACCGGTTAAACATTCGGCGAAAGAGTAAAAACGCAGCAAGGTACACTTATGTAATAATTAACATTTAATAATTTTGCGTTTTATTTTAATTGTATTGGTACTGTGGCCACAAACAAACGGCACGGGGAGTAAAAGTTTTTCAAAACGCAGCAAAAAAAGATAAACAAAAACCAAAAAAAACGAGACTCAACCCAATTCCGCTGGGAGTGCGACTCAAATGGAGACTAAGGTTCAATTGATTGCCTGCGTTGCCCGGCGACGATTTTGAGTTTTTGGCTTTGAGTATCGGGTTGAGTTTCGTTTTGAGTTGTTTTTTATTTGGAGTGAAGACTGCGGCACTGCGCAGGTGTAAAGGCAGCGGCGACGCCGGCAGCGGTGCTCCCATTGATTTTGGACCCAACTGGACGCCACTGCTGCTGCTGACCACACACAATCGACGATTTGTTGTTGCCGCTGGCCTTTCGTTTTCGCTTTGACACACTCACACACAAACGCAGCTCACTCATACGTAATAATTCGCAGGTTATTGTTTATTATGACTAAAGGTGCGCGTAATCAAATTTAACAGACAAAAAGCGCGGTTAAAGAATTATGTGCGGCTTTGTGGCGTACTCAATTGAGTAAAAAGAAATTACGATGGAAATTGCTCAAGTCAAATTTATTTGGAGGAAAGAAAACTAGAAATTAAATGAACACAAGATTTGTTATGAAGTTTTGTGGCCTTAGAACCTTAGGATAATGTTTTATTTATGTTTCTTACTGTGTTAATAATAATGCATCAATGCTTGCAGTTGACACTTTAATTCGGAATTTAAAACAAAATTAAGGCATAATGAATTTCATACCTGCTTAAAATACCTAATAAAAATACCTAAATTGGTATAAAAACCCAATTTCATAATCATTAATGAACATTTTTTTTAAAAAGCCTAAATTTTATGTTTGCTCAACAACAATTATGTAAATTTTCAATAATTTGAATAACAAAAAAGTAATTCTTATTCATGCTTTCGATTGATATAAATTACCATGTTCCTAATCAACAATGAAAATCGATTGAAAGTGTGCATTTTATAATACACTGTTGATTATTTTTGTTTTAAAAAAATAAACTACGTTTTATTTACAATAAAATCTTATTTTGTTAGGTAATTAAGACTTCTTTATAAGAAGTTTTTTAAACACAAATGTTACACATGTTTTTTGCATAAATCTAATAGTCGTTTTGCCACTTGCAATTACCGCAGTAATTAAGAACGTTTGAGTTGCGATTTGCGACACTATTTTTTTCGCTGTGCATGGTTAACGCTTTTTGCTCGTTTTCTCGCTTTCCTAAGCGATCTTTTTGTTTGTTTTGCATAATTTAGCCGCCGCTTCTTTTGTGGCAAGCGCAACGCGAGACGCCCATCGATAACTATATATATATGTATATGTATGTATATGGACTTTGCCTATTGGGGGTTTCGAAATATGTTTGATCTGCATTTACATAACACTCCTAAGCTCGCGGAATTGGTGTGCGACGGGTGCGGGTATAGAAAAAAAAAAAATACAAAATATTGCGATGCGATGCGGATCCACACTAATGGCCTGCTTATGGTACACTGTTTGTGGGACTGTTGATCAGAACCCAATTAACAAGTCATATTTGCACAGAGCTCAGAATCCGCTGGAGTTCCCACTCAACTTACTTTGATTTTCGGCGTTTCAATTATATTTGTTGCTTTTCGAAACTCGTTGAGCGCTTTTATTTTCACTTTTCCCTACATTCCGGCGGTGGTTAGTTAAGATTATTTTAACTTTTATTGAGACATTACCGAGATGAGATCCGCGTGTCTCTGAATTTGCTGGATTTTATTTATCTTTTTTTTTTTTTTTTTGATTTTCGTTGTACCTCCGAGACTTTAGCTCTTGGACTTGGACCGACTTTCGTTTTCGTTTCTTTCGCTGGCTGATAAAACGCACTGCACAACAGATTAGCTGGCTATATATATATATGGCCCACTCTTTCTTCTTGGCCTCTTGCCTCTCTTTCTCGGCTTTGCTCTGGCCCTGCAACTTGTTTGGTCTTTTTTATGCCTTTTGTCAGCTTCTGTTGACGTTGACGTTAACCGAATTTCGGTTTCATTTTCGCTTAACTTTTGATGAGGGCCACGACGCGTGCAACGTTTTGGTAACAACTGTGTGCCGCTGCATTTTGGCTCAAAGTTTTATAAACTTGGTCGCTGGTCAACTGAGTGGACTGCGCAGTCGCAGCGACGCCGGTCGCGCAGCAGCCGAGAGATAAATCAACAATTGGAATTTCAGTCTCAAGATCAACAAAAGACGACCGACTACCGACTACTGACTCCCTTACGCGCCCGAGTCCGAGTATTCAGTTTTTTTAGTTTCCAGTCCCGATTTGTCAGTGGTCAGTAGTCGTTATTTTCGCCTACTCGGCTTCGGCTTTTCGCTCGTCAATTGCACGCACATTAAAATCTCTTTCTCTTTCATTGGCTCTTTCTCCGTCTTGTCTCGGACGGTCCAGACCCTTCAATTAACCGAAAGCCTCAATCAAAAGTCGCTCTTTGAGTGGCTTAAATAAAAAGTAAAAATAATAGCCCATTTTATTGCCATGTGAGACTCATAAAAACCACTTACTTAAGATTATTTTTTTATTACAAAAAAGTTATAATTTTAAACATAAAAACATCTTTTATTATTTATTATTGGTAGTAATTTTTTTTTAAATTTATATATTTATTTTAATAAACTGACTTATTGGTAACAGTAAAAAATACTTAACATTTCTGCGAGTGCATAAATAAAAGCTTTAATTAATTATATAAATACAGGATCTGTAGGTTAACTGGCAGCATCAAAAATACATTTTAATTGAATTTATTTTGCATATTTTAAAGGCTGAGGCCATCCAGTTTCTGTGAATATAATTGCAGTTGTAGTTGAAGAAAAAGGAAAGGAATTTCATGTGTTCATTTAACAAAATGCCTTTTGTATTTTCTAATTCAATTGTTAAGCACTAAGTTACAATTAAAACCTTTTTTTGATTGTTAGTTTTGGGAACCATTTTTTGATGAAAACCTATTTTGGTCATTAAATATTTACTACATGTAGTAGATGAAGTATAGAATTGAGGCAAATCTAAGACAGGACTTTATATTTACTAATATTAAACGACTTAATTAAGTTATAAAAACGTATGTTTTATTGCGACGAAAAGTCAGTAATTATACGAGGTAATTTTGTGAAATTTTTAAAAACATTTAGTAAGCGTAAACTAAAGTTGCCAAACACCACTTACGAATCTCATTTTAAATTTGCAACGGTTAGAAATTCATTATTAGTTACCCATAAATCCCGCTAGATGTCGATTCCCCAAAAAAGCTCAGCTTACACCTGTCTCGCTCACCTACGAAAGCTCGACTTTCGCTTTAAGCTCCGCTCTGAGCTTCGCTCATCGGATGGCGCACCTTCGCTCAGTTGATTCGCGCAGCTTGAGGCCAACAGTTCGAGTACGCGATACGCGCGCATGCGATTTTCACCGCCCAACAGGCCCACCACCTCCCGCCTCCCAGAACGAGAGCGAGCGAGAAGCAGATAGAGAAAACTACGCTCGCTGCTTGCCAAACTAAAAATTCGTGGGTGCTGAAACGAAACCGAAAATCGACAACTAAAACGCACGAGATTCACGAAATCCATGATAATACGAGTATTTAACCATAAAGCGGTGCGTGCATATGTGTGTTGGTGTTGTGCGTGTGTTAAAGAATACTAAAAAATCGACAAGTGCAGAATGAAAATCAAAAACAAAACAACAAGACGGGCAACAAGTTTTTTTGCGTAGAATCCAACGACGAGCGAAATTCCAAGTAAATAAGCCAACCTGCTGTGTTTTTCGTTGTATTTTGTTGTTGTACGAATATTGTTGCAACTCGTTTCGGTTGTTGTTTTCACAATTTGTGTTTTTGTTGTTGTCAAAGCCACACAAAGCGGGTCAAATGCATAAATAAATGAATGAAACGAAATGAATCGAGCCAAGCCGAGATGAAATGCGAAATGTTGTTATTATCATTTGGTCTGAAGCGAAATTAATTACAGCGTGCATTGTCATTGTAGAAATAAACGTAAATATATCGCAATCAGTGAAGTTTATGTAAAGTGGCGGGTATCTTCTGCCTTTTCTTATTTCGGGCAGTATTGCCATCCCGCTTCTACCAACTGCTGGAGCTGCCGAAAAAGCTCTATAAACAAATGAGTTCAACTGCTAGATGCGTTTGCACCTGAGCACGGATCGCCTCCACCAATGGCAGCTAAAGTGAGTTCGCTCCAGAATTTTATAGAATAAAAAATGACAATTAGGGCTCAGAAATATATTTGGATAAATTTTTGAGAGATGTTTGCTAATAATTTAGGTGTCAGTTATGTAAATGGCACAGTGGTATCCCATTATATCTTTATTTTAATATGCCATTCTTTTGTAATTACCATACACTCAATTAATAAGATTTGTTTATAAGACTTTGTTGAAAAAAAGTAAACTTCATAGCTTCACCACTTTTCTGTTTGACTAAGAAATAAGATTAATTTCTTAAAGCTTTACTTCTACAACTGTTTTGAGGCGTTTATTATTTACTTTGCAAAACTACCTACGTGAGGAAGTTGAATTTTAAAGTTGTGCATGTTTTTCGCAAAGATAAGACAAATCATTTAAGTTAATGAGTTTGGAAAAGAAGACTTAAGAATGTAGAACATTTACTAGCTTAAGGAAATTTCACTGTTTTAACTGAATTCTCAAGATCGGACTCATATATTTTAACCTTTTTTTTAATATTTCTGCTATATATACGTACTTTTTAGAACTTAAAAAAGATTGATTAATTAAAGGTTTTATTAAAAATAAACCTACTAAAACCAAGTTAACAAAGAACTAATAAAGAATATATTTTACATATATTCTTTGAGCAGCTGAGGCCTTTTGCTAATTTCATATTTAAATTGTTATGTGACTCTGTGATGCCCCTGGGAATTTCATACCAATAAATGGGGATCAACCACTGTAATGCCAGACTGCGACTGCATTTAGTGGCCATGTCTCTAACTGTAATGGACATGGACAGTCGCGAACCGTGGCGCACTTGTCGCAAAACAGGTTTTATCTCGCATTCGCGGCTGGTTCTGTTTTTATTTTACTATAGCCAATATATATATATTGTATGTGTTTATTAATGGCCCATGCATTTTTCCATATTTTCCTGCTGACCTCCGACGGTCTGCAGGGGCAAAACGGAATCACCTTGCCGTTCTAATTTGCCAACTGCCACCGCGAGTTGCAATAATTGGAGCGTGGCTAATGTGGGGAATAAAAAAGGCCAGGGGTCGAGCTCATTAGCTGGGATCGCCACAGATCGGGGAAGCCACGCCCCCTTCCTCTATATATTTATATATACTATATATGCATATATGTCCCCCAAGGGAGGCTAGAACTTTGCCCGTCGCATTGTTGGCAGCTTGTTTAACATTTAAAAATAAGCTTATCATAAATCGTGTAAGCGCAAAGACAAACACAAATGGCGAACTCAAAACTGTGTGAACATTTTGCTCGAGTGCAAATTGAAAAGTTGTTTGTCCGGCCGCCGAGTTGACCATAACCATAACCATAATACGGTGGCAATTCAAAGCGGATGGTAAGAAGAGACGCCACCACGAATCTGTCCGCCAACCGGTAAAGCGGTACGGGGCGGGCGGTACGGGGCGAGCGGTACGAATCGAACCCAGCTGGTAACCGGACGCTGCACCGGAGCATCGCCAGCTAATTGCATTGGAAATGGATGCTAACGGAGCCGTTAATGTGCCGCCAATGGAGCATTAAGCGGCTAGTTAGTCGCCACTTGTGGGTCTTCGTTATGCAACAGTGCTGCTGCTGCTGCTGCTGCTGCTACTGCTGCTGTTGCAGCGATTTCTGTTTGCTGCTGTTGCTATTTGGTGACTCAGTGCGGTATGCGGTATAGGAGCGATTGGGCGAATGTTGTACTTTGCCTAGGTCCATGTACAGTAATCACTCCAATTTAAGAGTTTAAGACTTACGAAATTTTAAATAAGATTAAGAGGAGTTTATCCGAGTTATCAAAGATTCCTATAACAATATTATACAATTTTAATTATTATTCAAAACGAACACAAATGTCTACCAAATAAACTCTTATTCTACAACTACTTTTTAAAACGAGTTTATATATATGACATATTTGTTTATACCTGCCAAGTCCAACTTCATTTAAGTAAAACTTTTGGTTATGAATACTTATTTAAATCTAAATTTATTTTGAATTATTATTGTTTAATAATAAATCAATCAATCTGAATCAAATAAAGTTTAGTTTATTTTTATTTAAGTTCAGTTTATTCTATTATTTACTATTTTCTATCATACAAGTATCCTTATTTTGTGAATAAGTAATAAAAATAATATATCTCTCACTTATTTAAGCATTATTTAAGTCACGGAATCCCTTATTTCGAGTGATCACTGCTAAGGTTTAGGTTCAGTTCCAGACTGGTCTATTCTGGGGAGCGGCTACGTGTACTTTGCACTAATTAGTAAATGGAGGGCAGCTCGCCGTCTGCAACTAAAAGCAATTTAATGGGCATTTTGCATATAAGTACTGGTACTTTTGCAACTGCGCACCTCACGGACTCCTACTCGATGACTCATGGGCGCGTCTAGAAATTCCTAACGAAATCGGTCACTGTAGCAAAGCGATTGGTTCCCCGCCACCTTTGTAGAGCTAACTCCTATCCGCCCACGCGTCTGTAAAGGCGGCACCTCAAAAGTGCACAATAAAAGGCAAATAGAGTCGGATAAAAGCCTTGAGCTTGACAAAAGAATAAGCAAATTGCAATTTAGGAGGGGGAGACACATTATTCTTTGTGGGAAGTGCAGCAAAACACTCCCTGTTCCACTTGATCCCACTTAAAATTAAGATGTTTTATATTTACGTTGGGCATAAAATGAGTTGAGGGATTTATAAGGCATTTAGCTATGATTTATGATTCATTTTCTTTAAGATTACTTTTTTAAAACGAAATTATTTATTATTTATGAATATTGGACAATTACTTTTTATTTCAATCTTTAAAAGCTGACTATATGGTTGCCTAATAGTACCAACGATGTTGGCTAGTTGAAAAACGATTTTTAATTTACCTTTGCAAACATTTTGAAATAAAGTGTTGCGAATAAGTAGTTACCCTGCATATTTTCGATAAGTGCCCCCGAATCCGTTATAGCGGTTAGTGTGCCACAAGGCAGGTTATCTAATCGGAGCAGCAATTGTCTCAATAGCAGCGATTTCATTCGATCACACACACACTTTTCACAGCCATCAGCTGCCACTTGCACTTTCCTTTAGCCTTTGCATAACCACACACGCAAATCTCCCATCGCAATCCCGATCCGAAATCAAATCCCCTGATCCGTACACTCCATATTGCCTGACCGCAAACTGCAAATTTGCCTTAATGACTGCGTCGGCACGTTAACTGTCATTTTCAATCAAATCGTCAGCCCCCTGCCCACTCTCTATATAGAGATATGTATATCCGCTGGCCCCCCAACTAACGCGATTTTAAGTGCAGCCCATTAGTTTTCAGCGCTTTTTAAAAGTCTTGCACAAACGGAGATGCGGATTGAATGTTACCAATCATCGAAATGTGCACCCTGGGGGGAATGTCAAAATATTTCGATAAAATGCTCCAAGTGGGAGGCCACTTCTTGAAGTTTACCGAAGCTATTAGCTAATCCCACTCGATTGAGAAGAGAAAAAAACCCCGAAAAATAGCTGACAAATATTTGCGCACTTTGCCGCATAAGAGGAATTTCTAGATTTTGCCTTTATTCCGAGAACCAAACGTGTAAAAATCCGCCTGGTAAATGATTACAGTGAGTGGGCCAACAACAATGGGGCATTCTTACGTACGTGAGTTCGCAGAGCCACAAGTATATATATTGCGGGGTTCAGGGTTAATTATTCTATTGCACGCTCGGACTCAGCCTCAAAATCAGACGCAAACTCAATTTGAAACTCGGAACTAGCTGAATGCTGTGCCAGTGTACGAGTATGACTAAATTATGCATTATTTGTATTATTAAATTTGTCGGTTGTTATACAAACATCATGCACACACCGAAAGCGTTAGTTACTTAATATTTATTCTACATAATTATTTCATTACCCAGAAAAGGAAGTTGACGACATCTGCTGTCGATTTTGTCATGCGTGGCTTGGATTTTAAAAACTTTTGAAGACGACTTCACCTTCATGGCTGACAAAATACTCGAAATATTCATAGGAACTAAGCAAATTTGCGTCTTATTTTAAATGAGTTCATGAGCTTAATTTCTATATTTTTCTTGAAATATTAAAAACATTTTATTTACGGAAAGCTTAGTTCAAAGCTTAATTTCTTAATATTTTTTAAGGCTTTATGACATGTACTTTCCATTTTGTACTTTAATAAGTTAATCTTCTAACTGGTTAACCTTTGTCGGCATCTTGTTACATGTTATAATTAGCTAACTGTTAGATGATTTCTAATTATTCCCCATTCCATTTTAATTATGGATGAGATGCAACATTCCTCAGTTAGTTTGATACTTCCTCGGCGCCTTTTTATTAGCATGTTGATCAATTACTATGCCTTCCAAAGCATTAATAGAGTTTAAAATATTACTTTAAAGTGCTTAAATATCTTTAAACTATAAATAATTTTATACACAATTTATTTTCATCGTGTAGACAAATCTTAGAAGCGATCTATCTTACGTGTTGTTATTTGGATCCCAGCTCCTCTTCGGTTGCACTCAAGTTGAGTTATTGCAACAGAAACTGGCAATCAAATTTGCATTTATTTTGCCCGCGATGTTTTGTTTTACGAGTGTGTTTATGCGATCCGCAGATCGCTCCCGGCCGATAAAATCGCCGGATTGATAAACATAAACATTTTTAACTGGCCGTGTCGTGTCTTTGCTCGTCCACGATTTCCCAACGTCAATTTGCATGTTTAATCAGCTGTGGCCAAGTTTAACCCATTGTTTGGCACAATACTAGACAAAAACGGCAAAACAAAGCCGCAGCATCGCACGATCGGTTGTGTGGGCGTTTTTGATTTTGAGATGGGGAATTCTATCTATCTAACTATTCACCGAACAGAAATTCTTTCGCACGCTGGTCTTAAATCCCCGTAGATTTCTCGACTGCGCACTTTATCAATCATCGAAGGAATCAAACAAACAAGCCGAGAACCACTCCAAAAGTCATCCAATTGTAAGCCCCTTGAAAGTATTTCTGTTCATTGTGAAGCCGTTGATTGAGTTTGAGAGCCAACATGGCAAAAAGTGATTCTAAGCGGCTTTTTTGGCAATTAAAAATAAGGGTACACACATGAGGTTTATAACCTAGTGGGCAAATGGCGACTGTAAAAAAATGTATTTAAATATTTCTACATAAAAAGATTTATTTTCTTGAGCTGCAAAACTTGTTAAGAAGTCTGACTTTAAGCCTAAGTACATTAGCTTTTTTAAGGTATTTTTGCTAATGAGTATCTCCAAGTCCAAACACCTTCTTGCCTCTGTCTTACTTGTTTGTAATCGTATTGCTCGCCTCGGGAGTTAAGTTTAGAATGCTGATGTGTTATAACAAATTAACAAAAAATATAATCATATAAAAACGAGCGCGAATGAGCCAGTCAATGGCATTTCTTATAATTCAACTGGGAGCGAACTTAATGAGCAACGCTTGGCGGCAGGCAGACAAAAAAATCTATTCGAATTATAGCCAAATTACGAGTAACATATAATTTAAAAACAAAAAATGGTTATCATGGGGCTGTTCTTTGTGATCATCAGTTTGGCATTAGCACCATCATCATCAATGCAAATCTCTTTCTTTTCGTCTTTTCTTACTTACATGGCATCCTGCTTGGCTCAATTAATCATGGGAACTGCCAATGGCCAAGAAAAGAAGTTTCGGCTTAAGTTTCTTACCAACGTGCGTTGAACTTTCGCCCATCCGCTTTGGCCGTCTACTAGAAAGGTTCTTGGCCAATGTAAAAATAGAAATGCTATGGGTAGCTTGCCACAATAAATCATCAGCATAACAAAGAACCATACCTACTATAATGTGAGGGTCAAAATGTGGACTCATCCGCTTAGTAAAGACTGGGTTTTTATTTCTTTAGCCGAAAATTACGCAAAGCAATGCCGCACCCAGGCATGAAGGCTTCTTGTCTTTGGTTGAGTTGAGTGGCAGTTTATGCCGCATACCAAATCGAGTGAAATTGTCAACGTAATTTTGCGCAAGCCTCGCCAAAAAGGCCTTTCGAACACTGTTTAATTGATTCCTCGCCAGGCAATGACACACATTGCCATAAAAATTCATAGTTGCTTATGTTTTTAATGGCTAACGACGAGGCAGAAATGAGAAACTGACAAGTCCCGCGTACAACAGGGCGTATGCGTGCTGCGGCTTTGGGCTTTGGCTTTGGGCTTTTGGATTTTATTGAACCGCAGGCGGTGGCGCTGATCGGTTTGCCCGTGCTGAGCTCGGCGACCTCAGTTATCACTCTTACTTACCGCGAATTATAATTGATGTTTGCCCATGCAATAGGCCCGCCGTGATGGCCAAGTCAGCCATCTAAATCATTTTTTTTTTTTTAATTTTGAGCAGCTTATGGGGGCTACGATCTGAGGAGGGACCTTAAAGTTGGCTGGTATCCCATAATTTTTGGGGTAAACTGTTTCTAAACTGCACAAGTTATGGCTCGAATGTCCCATTTGACAATGGAAATAATTTAAATACTTTATTGGTTAAGCAGAGGTAAAGAAAGACATAAATGATAAAGCTTATGCCAAGTTACACAAAATTTGGTTTTAAACATATTTAATACTGAATATGTTGAAAAGAAATGAAGTAACTTTGCATAAATTACGTAGTATTTAATTAGTATTCGCCATTTTTGACATCTTCATTTACATCCATTTGGTTTTTCATAAATTTCTTCGTAAAACTTTTAATTTGCCTACTTTCTTAAAGATAAACTAACTTTAGGAGTCTATACATTAAATGAAACTTATAAATATCGAAAAGATTTATTAACCAAATAGGGAAGTATCTTTTTTTTGTTCACTGCATAAGTTGCCCCAAATACAGCCCCTATTATTATACCGAAACGCACTGTGCACTTAACTAAAAACCCGTTTAGTACCCCCTTGCCATGCATTTTCTTTTCCAATGATTTTCGCCGCATTTTCCTTGACTATTTGTGTACCAATCAGCAACATTTCACTAATGCACTCCGATCTCTCTTCCGACATTTGCAGCAACAGGCAGGCGTACGATTTCCCAAAGCAGCAGCACAGATAAGTCGACAGCACGACTTGAATTATTGCACGCAACAGCAGCAACATCAACGGCAGCAACACCAACAGCAGCAACATCAACGGGCAGAGAAAGGGGAGAGGTTGCAGCCAAAGTAACCGAACAGAAGACGCAGCTTCATTCTACAAAACAATTGTGGAAAAGTGGAAAACTCGCGCGTGTGTTTGTGTGTGTGTGTGTATGTGCATACTGTGTGTGTTTGCGAAAAACGAACAATAGAAAACCAGATAGAAAATCAGCAGAGAAAACAATCAGCCAAAGCAACCAGCAGAGCCAGAGCCAGAGCAGCAACTATAATTTGAGTACTTTTGTTTACTTTTTTATTCGGTATATGCTTCGGTTACGATGTCGTTGATGAAAATCCATCGAGGCAATGAATCATTTTGCTGTTGCTGGTTGCTGTTGATGGTATTGTTGTTGGCTGAAGCGGCAGTGGCAGCAGCGGCAACACTGAGTGAAACGCAGACGAATGCAACTAATGGTGCAATTAGAGAGCCGCCTGTGCAACAGCAGCAGCAACAGCAGCAGCAGCAGAAACAGAGACTCCAACTGAATGCCACCGCCGGCGACGGCGAAAGCCGAAATTCAGCGGAAATTTTCAGCCCCAGCGACGTGGGTAAGTTTTCTAGCATATTACACACACGAACACTACAAAAATTGCCAACTAGCCAAAATAAATCTATGCCAATTATTGACCAACTGGCAGCAGCAGCAGACGAAACAACAATCGCCGCTGCAACATTCGAGTGGCTGGCTGTCTGTCTGTCTGGCAGTCTGGCTGTCTGGAAACAATTGGCCCGGCCAACGAATGTGGCCGAAGAAGCGGCTTTAACTGCAGGCCGCTCTGGCATTGGCCAATCTTTTGCATTTTGAAAGCCAGAAGTGGTTGTCAACGTTGAGGTTGTTATGAGACAGAAAGGAATTGGCTTTATGGGGGCAGTTTCCTTGCATTCAACTTAATGCCGCCATCAGCTTTGGCTATATAAAAAGAGGTTCAAGCATTTTATGTTAATCACGAGACTTAATGGGGAGCACTAAATGTTAAAGGTGAATTCTTTAAGGAGATTTATGTGGGGGTTAACCAAGAAGAATTTTAGTGAACGTATAACTTTAATTTAAATTAAAGTTACTGTGAATTCTTATAAATATACAAAAAAAAAAATACTTTTACGGAAGTTTACGGTACCAAAAGTGATGAAACCATCTTTTAAGTTTTGATTAATTATCTTAACTATTAAGTTTAATAAATTAAGATATATGATTGATAAGCCTAAATGGTCGCTTTGTTTCCACTTTACCCCTATAATGGACACCGTTTCTTACCAGAAATGTTAAAGAAAAATATTATCAGAGTAATTAATTAAATTTAGAAAGGTCTCAACTGAAGAGTGTGACCCTTTGGCACCACTCAAGTTTATTGAAACAAGATTCCATCGCAGAGATAAGCCCACGAAATGTGAGGCCCTGTTGAGTTGCAACCGTCGAACAATTATGAAACTGTTCTGCAAGGGCAAATGTCGAGGTGAAGATAGCTTAAGCCTGCCTTTCATAAACGCTTTTTAAAAACGCTGCAAGTGCTCGGCGGTTTACGGCCAATGGATTGATTAGACCGGCTCTTTTGTCCATGGCTGCCTCTCCGACACTCATAAATGTAAACAGTGATTGTTATTTCAATTAAGTATTTTCATAAACAATTAAGTTTGGACTTTGTGATTTTTCAAATGCTTCACGGCGTGGGTGTTTGAAATCAAAATGGAAATTGTGTTTCGCATTTAAATTTAAATTCAATGGCCCCACATAAGTGTGTTTTTTATTGGAACAAAGTGTTAGGCCTAGAGTTCCATGGACTCGACCAAAACACTCAAGCAAAAATGTGGTCCGCATCTTTATTCATGAGCGTTTTGTTGGGTCCAAGACTACGTTTTTACTGGACATTTTATTGCGGTCCAGAGCTAACTAAACAAATGTTAATGCATTTTGATTATGCTTAATTTATGCCCGATGAATGGGCATAATTTCGGTGTTGATTTTTTGTTTTGGTTTTTTTCCTTTTGGCCACTCGCTTACGAAATGCAATTTTCGAAGTCAAACTGGCCAGCAGTTGTAGGTGTCGTTTGCTGGCCACTTGAACACTCGAGATACTTGGCCAAAAATATCAATATTGGTGTGGCTCAGAGGTTTGGTTTAAAAAAAAAAATGTGTTGTGTGCTCATTACGTTTACCTGTTTCTTTTTCCATTTTTTTTTCGTGGAGCCGAGAGACCTCATGTGCGTCCATTGCGTAATCCCACTCGTTTAGCTGGCGTAGTGAAGCGTTGGCAAGCTCCGAGTCTCAAGAAAAAAAAAAGAAGAGCCCAAAGAGCAAATCTGAAAAGTCAACAGAGAGTCAGCCAACCAGTCAGTCAGCCAGCCAAGTGCATTTCGGCCAGGTCTCTGCATCTACCGGGGACTCAAACTCGGTCGGCACCAGGGCGTATACGCAATATGAGGGCGTGCATCAATGTGGGAAAAATATGGAGAGTGAAAGAGGCAGTCGAGTCATTGTTATAAAAGCCACTGCAACTATTTAAACATTTGGCCCTTTCACGTTGCCTACTTACTACCGTATTACGTACCTGCTTTGATACGGATTTTCGGTTTTACCTCTTTGCATTTGCTCCCAATATGTAATAACAAGTATTCAATCAAAATATTTGCTCTGTTCATTATTCCATTGCTCCGAAGCTCACATGTGTTAACATCAGAGCGAACAAACAGATATCGGTTCATTTATATTAGATCTTCGTCACGGAACTAATGGATGGAGTGGAGTTCAGTTGAGCCGGATGGCAAGGCCAAGAATTATTTACATATAATTATGTAAGGTTTTCAGCTGGGGGGGGAAACGTTTGAGAAAGATAAACAACACAGAGAACAAAAATAACAAACAAACAACAAGAGAATCAAAATTAATGTGGCTTTTAAGGCAATTTGATTTTAGTTTTTAGATAAAACAAACCTACATTCCAAATATAATTTTATATTTTTTTTAGCTTAAACAGCTTTTGTAGATACATTTTAGTATGCCAAAATAAAATTAAAATAAAACTTGATAATATATATATATGATATGATAATAATAATATATTAAATAAACCTGTTTAATTTAATGCAATTACAAAAAATATTTTTTTAAGCCACTTAACTTAAAAGTTAACCTAATTACATACATGTATATGATTTTCTTTGAGTAGTTTGATGAAAGTGAATCCCCCGAAGTGAATTGACATAACTAATTTGCACTAATTTAAAACTTTATTAAAATTGGTTGTCCAATATAATTGTCGCAACAAAAATGAAATGCAAATATATTCAAATCATGTTATACAATAACCTAAAAATGTTAAAAATTATATAGAAACGTTTTTCTTTTTTTGATTTCCTGGATATTTACATTAATTTCGCATGGTTTTTGCCTTTCAATTGAATTTAATTTGAAGACCCAAATTCGCATTCCCAGTTGGTAACATTGTGGTTGGTGGTTTTTTCTTTACCTTTGGCTAGGAAAAGGAAATAAAACGCGCAATTTGTGTGTTTCGTTGGCCACGGCGAATATCAATTTGGTGTGTTTTTGCTTTATTTTTATATAAAATGTTTATAATTTCTTTTTCATTAGCTTTCGTTGCGAAAAATGTGGCCAGCGGGTAAGGTTTGTTGAACCCTTCCTCCGGTCCCCAGGTCCATCATTTTGTTATTTTGTTATTTTGTTAATTTCCTTGGCCGTTGTCTTTCGCTGTCTTGTGTTGTTTTTCGTGTGCGTGATTAATAATAAAACCGCTGGTGACCCACAACGGCGGGGAAAAGGGTTACGCAACTGCGATGATTTACCGGGGACTTAATTAAAATCCGTGGGACAAAAGAAAGCGACCAGCAGCTAATGATAGGGGGTGGTGCAAAAGTTGTAGCTTACTATGCGTTGCGTAAATGCCGACTTGGATGCGACTGATGACTGCTGGTGATGAACATGTGCCACGCCCCTCGGCCATTTGCAACGCCTCAATGCACAGCCGCGTGGGGTATTGAAAACATTTTTTAGAGCCCCGGCTGAATTCGCTAAGCCAAACAAAAAAACGGAAGCCCGCGAAAAAGAAATAAAAAAATCCCAACAAATCATGAACAACAAAACTTAGTAATTATCCAATGTTGCAGGTCGTATTGTTGACCATTTAACATATGGGGCTATTGGGCTCCCTTTGAAATGGGAAACTAAAGTGGAAACCGCTGGCTGTGTCGTAATTGCGCAATTAAAAGGTCAGGCCATCAGTCGCCAAGTCTGTCAAGGCACCCAAGGGTTAAAGCCCAAAACCAGGAAGCCAAAAAGGCAAAAACCCAAAGCCAAAGCCTAAATCAACGCCAAAACGATTCATTTAGCGGCATTTCACGACAACTTCAGCTTAAGTTTCAGTTTAAGCTCCATTTCCGCATTGACATCCGCGATGCTTTTGGCTTGCATTTCTTCGTTTTAGCCCGATGCGAGTACCTTTGCCATTTCTCTTGGCTTTCTCACGTCGTCGCTGGCAGCTGCACTTCCTGCATTCAACTGCATTCGACTGCATTTTACTGCACTTTTCTGCACCCACAAGAGTTGGCTGCCAGCGATGGCTCCTTCTTTGGCCAAAATGTCGAACCGGACAACTTTGAACTGGCACTGGTTGTGGATTTAAAAGCTTTGCGCCCATAAATATATTTTTTCACTTCGTGCCCATCGATTTTATGAGTTTTATTAGTTATATAAACGTTCCTATTAAGGCATTATAGATTATTCATTTTAAAGGTGCCCTATTACCAATTTCTTTCGGGTTTTGTTTAAAAATAAACTCTTTTAAATTTACATAATTTTAATATTTTTTGCACCCCTAGAAATCAGATCTTGGTTGAATTAATGCTTCTATATTCTACCTTGCTAGGTTTTGATCAATACCTTACAAGTTATACCATATTTTCTTAAATATAATTTGTTTTACAATTGATTTTAAATTTAAACAGCATTAAAGAAAAACGTCGACTTTCCTAACTTGTGTTTTAAACTACCCAATAAACTAGTTGATAGGTTTTTTCCCGAATGGCTCCTAGAAAACAGCTTTTCATTGGGGACTTGCAAAGTCTGCTTGTGGTGTTGTACGGATAAAACGGAATTCCCTGTTATGGTTAAGGAGCTGTGCGGCATTCGCCAGCCTTTTCCCATTTTTGCCATTTCGCGTTGCATGCTTCGATATCACACTAGAAATGCTTTCGATTGGCGATCCCACCTAAACATACAGAAAACATGTCTTGCATGTCTGCAGCTCAGTGAGTCAAAAAATCAAATAAAAAACGAAAAAAATCGAAAAAGAGCCGAAATAAGCAAACACGTTTTAGCCATGAACGTGGGACAGGATAGGGTGCAGCAAATACTGCACGCTGCAAACGAAAGCGAGAAGTGAAAAAAAAGCTGGGAAAAAAACAGAGACAGAGCGGCCAGAAAATTGCAACGAAAGCGGAGAAAGTTTTTTGTTTCTGCCAAGGCGGCGTTTAAAAATTGTATTTATGAACTGCCTGTCGTGTCGGTGTGAGCGGTTATGAGTTGCCATTGTGTTGGTTTTTGAATGCACCAACTTGAGCGAATACAAACACAAACACCAGGCTATAAACCAGAAAGCAAAAGTGAAGTTGCCGCGCGTGAATTAGTGCCAGTGAATTAATGAAAGTCTTCAGCACTTGCCTCGATTCGATTTGGATTTGCAACTGCTCGGCTTGGATGGCTTTCTTTTGCTGGCCAGGAAACGAATAAAATGATTCAGAAAGCGATGAGTCAAGGTCAGAAAGTGGAAGTGTTTTCAGAAGAAAACGTTGGCGTAAATAAATATGGAACGTGTGATTAATATATTTCATATAGGGCAAATGTTTTATAAATTTGAACATCCCGTAGAATTTTATTATATTCTTGGAAATAATATTTTACACTCATTCAGAATTGTATTGCAAAGGCATTCAGTTTCAATAAGTATATTAATAACATTTCAATTGGATTATTCAATTCGCCTTCAAATAAATAACAAATAACTTTTATTTTATTACCGAATTCAATTCATTGAGCACTAAAAAAAATTAATTACTAAAGTTAGTATTGATCAATTGCCTTCAAAAATTATTTCCTCCGATTGTAAAGACCTTATGATATTATATGCTTTATTTGTATTTAAACATTCAATAACATTTGCTATGCAATATTGCTGTCTTTTGTTTTTGTTTTAAATGATTGACTCATCAGATTAATATCATTAAAAATCCAATTTAATATTTTCTGGATTATATTTTAAATATGTGCTACTTTTATATAATTTTTGGTCAAAAGAACATTGATGGCAGAATAAATGACACATCATAATTGAACTAAAGTTTTATTCTTGAATTTGCGGTCTATGTGTCATGGTCGGAAATTTCCAAATTTTTAGTCAATTTGGCCAGGCTGTAATTTGACTTTGGCGGCCTGTGCAACGTTGCGTATGATTGACATTTGTGTCATAGCCACAGTCGCTCATTCGTACGTATATGTGATTATGAATTTTCCGCTCATTGAATGGTATTTCATAACTTTGAATGGTGACACCATTAAATAAGTTTAGACAATCGAATCAAACACAGCTGTCAGCGCGATCAACTGCATTGCGTGAGCGATGTTTTCTGGGGTGTCTGTGTACTTGTTCGTTTGTCAATTAGCAGTGAGTGAAAAAATAAATAAAAACAAACTGCAAAGTCAGCTGTCGCTCACTCGCTGCCCACTCGTGTCGGTAATTTATTTTTAATTAAAAGTTCTAAACAAAAGCCAAGACATGCGATTCATTCAAGCGCTAATATCCATCCCCCACTCAACTACCTATCTATTCTATAGTTTAGTTTGTGATTTTCTAACTCAATTGTGCTAGGAGCACTGAAACAAATTATTTGCTATTAATATAAATTAAATTTTAATTTTTAAAAGTATTGCAATTTAATACAAATTTTGTATTAACATTTAATGTTTAATATACTTTTTAAAGTTTATTTATCAGCTATGAATGCTAAGTTAAAAGTTAGCTTTACAGACATTCTTTTACCTAGTCTATTGTACTGCTTGATCTCGATCTGTAAATAATATTTAAGTAATTAATTTTTTGTTTGTGTATACAAACATTGTCTGTGGCTTCGGTTCATGTAGCATCTGTGCAATTATTGGGCGGGTTGGGGTATGAGTGGGTTCAACCTTGATGGGCTTTGTGCGGCAGCGAAGACTCATTAGCTGCCAAATAAACTTGGCTGTTTTCGGCCAGAATCGCCAGCCAAACCGGGCGGGGTCTTCTCCATTGTATCTTTTGTTTTGTTTTTGTTTTTGTAGATGTGCTCGGGGGCCAGAGTTCGATGGCGAATTTCGCAAATATGTAGAAGCTAATGCTGGCATTAGTCACGCCGTCGCATCCGTTTGATGGCTGCTTTGTTCTCCGCTGGCCGGAGATTAATCACCTGCCAAATGCTGCACAATTTTCGGGCATTATGTAAGCAGCTCGCAGGCGGTTTGGTAAACAGCCAGATTAGAATTCCCCCAAAATCCATTTCGCAGTTGATTTCTGGCAGGTCGCAATACCAATTTGCCAATTGTCGTGGCTTAAAACAGCTCTCGGCTGTTGACAGAGGGAGAACCGTTTCTGATGCCCGTCTTGGGCTAGTTGGCCATTGGTTTTGGTCCGCTTCGCTCAACTTGGCCCGTCGTCGCAGCCGAAAAGATCGTGTATATGACCAAAATCGAATTAAAATTCCACAACGCATGCCAAGTGGCGGTGGTGGTGGCGGTGGTGGTGGCGGCTTCAATATCCACCATCCATCCACGGGGGCAACAGCAGCATGGCTAATGCCAAGAAGTCGCACAGGCCAAGCAATAAGCAATAAGCAATGGCCAGGCCGGAGTTCCCAATACCATAATAAAGCAGCCGAATCGGGAGGAAGTCAGACACCTCAAGTGCACACTCTTTACTGGGGTAGATAAACTTGAACTATGGAGTTTAAGATTAAAAAAGAGAGTTTATCGATTAAAAGAAAAAATATCAACAAAGCCTTACTTTGCAATTGTTAATCTTAAACTTCCTATTCTAACATAATTTTCTGATAGAACAAGTCATTGTTTGTTGCGTGTTACTAAATTAATTTTCCCACATTTAGGTAGTAGTATTACAAACTAAAACTTTCTCAACCTTTACGAGTTTTCATATATTTGAGTTTATAAAGTCGTTGACTAAAGTCGTTTTCCCACATTTAAAATAAATTAGGTAGAAATTTTACAATCTTAATTTTCACTGTATAAAACTTATTCAACTTTTAGGCTTGGCGTGTGGTCATATGCTTGAGTTATAGATATATATAAATATATATACATATATTCCGTCAGTAAAAAAATTTAAATAAATATTTATTAAAAAGAGACAAATAGTGCTTTAGAACTGGCATATAGATAGAATTTTTATTGGTATAACTAAGAATTGTGATAACTTTGGCAATCCATAAACCATTTATATATTCGGCAATAACTTATTAATGTATTTAAAAAGCTTCGTGACAATTTCCGTGAGTTGGAGATATTCACGAAAACCCTTTTTCTATATTTTTAAATCCACTTTCATAGTTAATGCACCTTTTGGTAGCATATACATCCAGTGTTAGGCGCAGCCGATCGAATGTCTGTGACTGTGGCCAAAATGGCAGCGGACGGCTGCTTGTCGCTGTAGTTTCATTGAAGGCATCGCAGCGACGTGACGAGACGCCCAAATGGGGCGCACAGTGTTGAACAATGCGGCAGAAAAGACGACAAACCAAAAAGGTGGAAAACGCAGAGCGAGAAAACGAGAAACGACTTGGCCAAAACAAAGACAAATTGTTAGCCAGAAAGCATGAGGGGAGGCGTATAGTCGAGCCAAAGTGGCCAAAATGCGGCAGAAGTCGGTGGAAGCGGTACAAGCGGTGCAAGCGGTGTAAGCGGCATCGGCATATGCAACTTGTTCTAGTCGCCTTGCCGCGCTTGAGATGCCAGCCAGGCAGGCGGCCCAACCTTGGCCTAAACTGCCAGCCAATGAACTAAATGTTTGTGAAAAGCAACGGCCGCGTTGCTGCCTGCTGGCAACAATGTTTGTTTGCCGCTGGCATTGTGTTTGGCCATTTTGGCAACGCGAAAATTAAACAATTGTGCAAGCAGCCGCTTGTAATTGTTTTGCCTGATTCCGCGGGTCAAAAAGCAGCCTCAGATTCAGTCTCAGATTCAGATTCAGGCCCATTGCTCAATCATTGTTTTAATGACCAGCTGCCTGGCCGCAGGCACATAGCACATAGAACATAGAAGCCTCAAGCCATTGGTTAATTAACGAGTTGGAGCAACAACTGCAATATCGTACATTTCGGTGAACCAGTTGGGCCAAGGAGCGTTTTGGCCAACTGATTAATGGCCCAAAGAGCAGCCTCGTTTCTCAAGATGTTCAAAGTGTTGGCCGCCGTTGGCCAAAGATGCTGTTTGTTAATACCGCAGATGATGATGGCGATGGAGATGGCGATGATGATTGTGGCCAAGTCGGCCTTACCCTAGGCAAAGTTCGCATTCCAAACGGGTTTCGTGCTCGTTGCCTTAGTCGCATTTAATTTCCATTTCGAGATTTGTTTTTCCAATATTTGTCACGATCTGGCGTCAAGAATTCCAGAGCCAGGCAACCTACACTGAAATGAAAACTGATAAGAAAACGGGGTCGATGTGATCATGCGAATATGATATGTGATTGTTGGTTGAAAAGTTGAATTCATTCAAATTGGAATTTAAGGAATGTAGACCATTTATTGCCAAATAAACCTCGATTTATTTCGTTAAATATATATAATTTATTTTTTTTTAATACCCAAGTGAGAGAGTTTAAGGAGACTTATTAAAGTGTATTGATATTTATCATTAAATATTCTTTTAATGCACATTCTTATTTGTCTATTTTAATAACTAAGTGCTAATTGTAAGTTTTCGTATTTTAATTAATTAGTTGAAGTTGAATTAAATTTTGTGTTAATATTATACAGTTGATGGCAATCTTAGTATACTATAGCCAATATAATTGCTTAAGTAATCCGATTAAAATAAATTGAAGATTCATGATTACTTCACCATTGTTTGTATTTTATCAACAATAAATTAAGCTGAGGCATACAAAGTATTCTACTCAATTATTTTGTCATGTGTACTCATTAAACCCCTTTGATGATATTCCAAGCATTCTTAGTAAATATTTTTCCGATTATCTGTTTACAGATGCGGTTGGTGATAAACCTACCACTTACAGGCCCTCGGGTGCCAATCGACCCTCTATTGCACCACTCAATTCAGCTCAGGACCGCGAGAGGAAGCTGATGAATGTGCTGGCAGCCCGGAGAACGGCTCTGCATCGAGGTGGTTTCCGCACCAGAATAGGCACCACCGGAAGGAGTGCCATTTCCCCGTCCGCAGCGGTGGAGAGTACCTCCAAAGCACCCAGTGATCCGAGATCTGTGTGCATCCGGAATTGCACCAAGAACTTTACCCGCCGAACCACCGCCAGTTGCATGCGACAATGTGCCAATTTCACTCGCATGGCAATGGCCTCGAATGGCAACAGTTCGGTGGTGCTGAAGAGTGGTGCTGGTTCTGCAAAGACCGCTACTTCTGCCGGCGATCGGGACACCAACGAGATCCTCTTTAGCGATGAGTCCTCCCATGGCCTTTTTGTGGTGGCCAAAGAGCAGAATGCCACTGTGAATCACATTGCCGATGGCACAAAGCCACCGGTGATGGGCAAGGTGATCTCCAGCAAAACCAATTCGATGGAAGAGGATGCGGAGGAGGAGGAAGATGAGCTTAAGCCATATGTGTACTTTGGAGCCAAGTTGCCACCCATTCGACCGGGTGGTTTGACCATTAAGCCAGCCGAAGGGGATGATGAACATCCGCGGGTTTTGGAGGTTTCAGTGGCCCAGAGCAGCACCACCAGCACCACTTTGACCACCTCTAGCACCACTCCTGCGCCAGTTAGCACCTCCAGACCCACTGTATCCACGCGACGACCTTTGACTCCAGTGGAAAGAAGTCGCAGCAAGTACAAGTACCACATGAGGGAAAGGGGATTTGCTGCGGCAGCTGCACCACCTGCAGCAGCACCACCTCCTGCCCCACCAGTGAGTCGTACGAGGTATGTGGGTTCGGGAAGACCCACTGCTGGACTAACAGATCCACTCCCGGAACTGAAACAACCCGAATCGGAAGTGGCCAAGCCAGTGGTGCGCAGGCAAAAAGTATCGCCCTCATCTTCAACACCACTGATCATCACCGTACTAAGTGCAGAGGAGGAAACCACAGTGGGGCAGACGGAAGAGACCACCACAACGACAACCACAACAGAGAAACCACCCACAACAACAAGTACTAGTACAAGTACTAGTACAAGTACAAGCACAAGTACAAGTACAAGCACAAGTACAACAACACCCATCACCACAAAAAGAACAACAACTACACCAGCAAGTACTACAACCACAACTAGTACTACAACTACAACTAGTAGTACCACCCCTAGCAGCACCACTACAACTACGACATCAACCACTGCCATTCCCACCACAACAAAAACCAATTCCATCATAGAAAAGGATAAGGAACTTATAAGAGCCTTGGGACCTGCTTTAACCCAGGAGATAAACATCGAGGATGCCAATAACTTGATTATATTCTGCAATAATACCTCCGATTGTGGTGTTACTCCACGCACGCACAGTCAACAATCGCATACCACCGATTCCAGTCCCAAGATACTGCGCACCACTGTGCTGACATCGATAAGATCCACTGTGCATCCGCGACCCACCAGTACCAGTACGAGCACCACAACCCCTGCATCACCACCATCGATAGTACCATCAGTACCAACTGGTGAGGTCTATATCGGCATTGTGGAGTCGTCTTCGTCGGTTCCCCCACTGGACATAAGCTCCACGGTGATAGCCAACGAAAGGGATGTGAATCTGGAGATGAGGCGCATGAATCTGGTCACCCTGGTTCTGGTGGCTGTGGGTGTAGTTCCCCTAGCTGCCATTATCCTCTACCTAGTGCGCAATTATGTTGTGCGGAGACGGGCCAAACAGGGTGAAGTCTTCGACGTTTGCATCACAGATCAGCAGCCCATTAGTCCAGTGAAGAAGGTGGACTCTAAGTACCAGGTGGATGACGACGAGGATGAGGTGGATCACCCGCATCACCAGCACACGCAGCACCACCATCAGCACAGTCAGCACCACCAGGCCATGCCAATGTCACAGGCAGCGCAGCGGGATGCCAACCACAATAGGTATGGCAACAACAACCATGATGACAAGACATCGCTGGCCAGCGAATTCCAGGAGTTCGAGCGGAGCAACATCCGGCTGAAGAGTCTCCTGGGCGAGGGAAACTTCGGTCAGGTGTGGAAGGCGGAGGCGGACGATCTGAGCGGTCACTTCGGAGCCACCAGAATTGTGGCCGTCAAGACAATCAGAGCCTGTAGTGCCCAGGTGAGCCTCAAGGACGAGGCCAACATTATGCGGAAACTGGGTTCGCATCAGAATGTGGTCACCCTACTAGGAGCCTGTGTGGAAAGTGGTGAGTATTGAATAAGGAGGTATCTCTAGAGATCTTTATACCCTTGCAGAGGGAATAATTGTTTTCTGTAAATAACAATTTTAATGTTATTAAAATCGGACAACGATTGAAGTATCTTCATCATTTTCTAACACATTTTTAAAAAATTTACATTTCATTTTTGCTAAAGCTTCAGAGAGTATATAAACTTTGCCAAAATTACCTTCTGTTCTTGTTTTTAATAATTTTAATAATTTTCTTATAGAACCGCACATGCTGATAATGGAGTATGCCATGAGGGGACGACTTCTGTCCCTTCTGAGGGCAGCCAGAAGTGCCACAAACATATTGCCAGCCTCAGTGCCAGGTGGTCGAAGTCTGGCCCCCTTATCGCCCCGCACCTTGGCAGGATTTGCCCTGGACATAGCCTGCGGAATGGAGTACATAGCGGGCAGAAGGGTTAGCTGCAATATAATATGAACCAATCAAACCTATATTAACTATATTATATCTAACACAGGTTGTCCATCGAGATCTGGCTGCGCGCAATGTGCTCCTTGATCACAATGGCATGTGCAAGATCTGTGACTTTGGCATGTCCATCGATTTGGATGCAGAGCGTTTGCGGAAGGAGCAGGAGAAGAATGCGGCTAATGATTTGCTCCGCCACAATGCGCACAAATTCAAGTTCGACTTTGGCAGCAGATACATTCTGCAGCACTGGCAGCACACTTTTGGCCAGGGTCAGGGCCAGGGTCACTGCTCCAAGGATCATCCGCACGGGGAGAAGAAGTCGCATCATGGTCACGACACCATTGGCAAGCGACACGCCCTGCCCATTCGATGGATGGCCCCGGAGAGTCTGCAGTACCACATGTTCACCACCGAAACGGACATTTGGGCCTTTGGCATTGTCCTGTGGGAGATTGCCACTTTGGGTAGGTTTTTGGCTTAAAGTTGGGAAAAGAAATCCCTACATTATTTCGGATCTATTTTAGTCAAGATTAATCAGTACTTGTGTATTGCATATGTAGATCATTAATTCTTTAGCAAAGTATCTTAGAAAATATCACTTCCTCTATAAATCTAGCTTTAAATTTATTTATCTTGATGCAAAAGCGTTTACATTGATTCATTTGTGTTTAGAAAAGGCAATCAAGCATCAATTTAAATTATAAAGACAATAAGTAAGTAAAAACCTGATATAGTCATTTGTGAAGTAGAGAAGTGCAGTAAATTAAAGTATCGATTCACGATTCTTTGATGAGATTCTTTTATTCAGAGTTGTGGTTAATGTTTTTTAAACAATTATTTATTTATTTTATTAAATTCACAATAAGTATCTTATTTTTGCTCAAATTAATATTTATTTACTTCCCATTCGTATGTTTTTGGTTTCTGTTAATAAGATTATATAATTCAAAGTTGTGGTAAAAGCTTTTTAAAACACATTTTTATTTTTTTTTTTAAAGTCCACAATAATAATCTGGAGAATTGCAGACAATTAAAGTATTGATTCACGTTTCATTCATGAAATTTATTAATTCAGACTTGTAGTAAATACAATATTTTTTTAAACAAATATTTTTTTTTTAATAAAATCGATTTATTATTATATGTTTATTTATTATCCACAATGATAATCTTGATTGGACTTTATGTTCTTGTTTAACGTATGTTCTTTAAATTCACATTTTTTTTACTCACAGTAAGTGTAGATATCAAATTGTAATTCAGAAACTTTGACACTGTTGAGTTGATAAATTTTTAGCTAAAAAGACTTAAATAAAATGTAATGAAGTGTTTATTAAATGGTTAATTTAATGTTCTATTCCGCATTCCAGGCTCCACGCCGTACTCTCAGCTGACGGGTCGCGAGGTCATCCGCCGGGTGCCGCAGGGTTTGAGGCCGGATCTGCCCAAGGAGAGCCGGCACGAGTTCTACAACCTGATGTCCCGCTGCTGGCACAAGGAGCCACACATGCGACCCTCGTTCGCCCAGTCGAGGCTGGAGATCACAAGGTCGCTGCACAAGTGGGTGGACGACGACTCGGCGGCCTCCGACTACATGGACGTGAGCGGGTTCAGCGAGGATCTCGAGCACGGGGTGGTCTACTTCAACCACCGGATCTCGGAGTTCGAGTGCGAGATATGACGCTGACTGAACCACCCTTAGTCCACCCATCCCCAACCACTCCATCCAACCACAACTCATCCACCGCCCACACATCTCTTTAAATACCTGTAACTCTTTCGAAATTCAATTCCCCCTTTTGACGTGCTTGTCGCGCAGTATTATTTGTATTTTATTGTTAATTTTCCATTTCGAACCCCCAGAGAGTTTCATTCATTGTAAATATTTATTTGTTGAGGCAACAAAAAACGAAAATGCTTATGTTTTACGATCTAGACCTTACGATTAATGAATATGGCGCTACCTATGCCTAGTTTAATATTCGTCACTTAGTTCTTCTAGTCTGTATCTGAAATCCCATCTTCGAGTTGAGCTATTTCCCCTGGACGTAGCCAAAATTTGACTGCACAAAAGGACACTTTGTAACCCCATTCAGTTGTGAAAAACGATTTGTTGATATAGGCGTGCAGCGCATAGGATCTATGTAATTGTATTGATATCTAGCTATAGAATTGTACAAATAAATTAATTAAACACGAAATATAATTATGATTATTACACCACTTGAATTGAGTTGTTATCAAATGGAATTTCGAAATTAAGTTTGGATGGAAACATAGGCATTTAGTTTGCAAGACAAATTTACCTTTAACTTGGATTTTTGTGATAAGGTTTTAGACCACTGTTAAGTTAACATAGTGTAAAAAGACGGTAAGCTTCTCTGTTAAAAAAGTTATTCATGTTAACTATCATTTAAGCTTTCTTCTTTTTCTGTGAGTCTGGCACCTCTTTAAAACTTTAGTAGAACTGGTTCCATTTATTTAAGCGGTTAATTTAGTTTAATAATTTAGGTTTAATAGGCATACAACATCGAATTTATTAGTTAATAAACATATTTTTCTATTTGATGATTTAAACAGTCTAACCATATTTTTAAAAACCGATTATTAGTCCAGTTCACAAATGATGTGGTAAAATGAATAAATTCTTTTCTTTTATATATAAAAAATATAAACTTAGTTTGAAACTAAAATCAAAGCTTTAATTTTTATATAAAGCCTTCGTAAAACTATAAATAGGCCTTTTCGAACCACATTTTATGTAAATCATAAGCAGGTACTTCACAAATTCAAAAGGCTGTCCCATACCCATATTAAACTTTAGCAGATTTAATTAAAAACCGGAATTGTTTGGAGCAAAGAGTTTTCATCCTATAGAAATAAAACGCGTAAGTATGCTTAATTATAACTTAAACGGTTTGTGTTTTGAATATTAACCTGAAATGCAAAACCTAAAAAGGCAAACCTGATAATTTTCAATGTCAAAGTTCTTATGCATTCGACTGAATATTCCAAAATGCAGGGTCAGCGATCCGCTGATGAACCGACCGAACTGCAGTGGTTTACTCCCCGACCGGAACACACACACACAAAATAAAGAAATAAAATGAAAATAACATAAAAATGTGCAAATTAGTTAAATGCATCGCGGTTTTTTATGGTCATGTAGTTGGCCAGCCGGTAGAGGAAAATCCACGAATATGTTGCAAGAAAAACCGTGCAGCAAGTGCAACCAAGTTGAGTCGGTGGAGAGGACACATTCGGCCGTGGTTGCTTGATTGATGACGCTGCAATTAAACACACGTCCAGCGATGCGGTAATCTCGACAAATGGACATTAAGATAAAATGCGTAGAGGCTGGAAAGTATTGCGTGCAAACGAAAATGAAAATGAAATGAAAATTCAGCTGGTGGCCCGTTTTGCCGCTGTGGTTACCAACGAAAGTGTGAAGAAAATGCTCTTTAAGTGGTCATTGAAAGTGCCACAGAAGCCGTAGGGAGGAGGCACTTGCCACTGCCCTGGAGCAATTGAGGCGATAGTTTATAGTTTTAGCCAATGATGAAGAAATAACAATAAAGCGCAAAAAAGCGAAACGTCAAAAGCACGAAAAGTCGTTAATAGACGCAAGTCAAAGTCATCGCACTGTGGGGAGCAAAGTTATAAAAAGCAATTAACTTTATTCATGTTAAACATAGTCGATGACTAGGCAAACAATGGGTTTTAATATAAATAGTTAATTTAAACCTTTTGAAGGGCTTACTTAATTTTTACTTTTTGAAAGTGTCGTTATTATATAGTATATTTAATTTTAATTAAATTAAAATAAGTTATTAAAATAAAACAATTTTTTCCCTAACAAAAATATCATTGAATACATTGGTCATCTTGACAACACAAGCTTTAAAGGTTTATTTAATATTTATTGTTCTATAAATTAAATCAAAACATGTTTGAAATTATTGTTGCTTACCAGTGATTTATTTAAATTAAACAATATAATTCTTAGTTTTGTCCCACTGCTTGGTGGCTGACAAATAGGCGGAGGCGCTAACTATCTGCCCAAAGTGGCCACCGAGGGCAGTTTCTTGAAAAACGAAAGTGCCGCGGCTGTGAAATTAATTTTCTTTCCTCAACTTTGGGGGTTGAACCTCACGGGCGGGCGATACGCCCAATGAAGTGGTCACAGTGTTTTCCGTGGCTAATGATGCCGATGGAAGGCACTTTAAATACACCGTTTTGCATGCTTCCGTTTTTTCGGCAAATTCGCTTCCTGACCCAGTGCTGAAAACAAATGACTTAAGACACGAACTGGGCAAAACTCTAAAATATGGAAAAAGCTTCCGTCTAAAATGCTAATATTGTAGATTCACATGTGGAATATGCAAATGGGAGCCAGCTAACGGTTCAATGAACCAGCGAACTGCACAAGAAATGCAATTTGACGATGCGCATTTTTAATGCGCAAACACGCAGCAAAGTTGGATTTACTGCAACGGGTCCAGAACGCCAACGGAGCCAAAGTCGCAGCAGCAGCAGCAGCAAAAACCGCAGCAGCCACCGCAACAACAGCAACCGCAACAACAACAAAAACAACATCGACAGCCGCAGCGGCGCCAGTAAAAGAAGCAGTAAGCAGCAGTTAAGGCAGCAAATCAGTCTGCGGCGAGTGTTGAAAGCGTTCAGACGTAGCAGGCGGAAGAAAAGCTGGCTCATAAGCGAAACGAAGGTGAATGCCAAGCCAAGAAGTGTGGCAAAGTAGAAAATCTGTTAATTGAGGCGCGTGTGAAAAGTGTGAAAATCAGCATACTGACTGAAAATCAGACGTAAAAGTGAAAATTATCTGTTTAAAGTAGAGTGGAGTGGAAACTTCGGTTCTTGCACCGTAACAGGAAATAATCAGTGGCCAAAACTAAGAGTCCAAGAAGAGCGTGGAAGAGAAGAACAGTGGACTGAAGTCGAGTCGATCTCAGGTGATTTCTTGAGCTCAGCCTCGTTTTATAAATTAATCACATAAATAAAGAACGCAAAGCAGAGAACAAGAAACAAAATCGAAATTGAAATTTTAAAATACCATTTTATAAAAGAGTGTGTGTGTGTTCGTGTATTTTAGCCAAATATGTGAAATGGAAACAACTTTCTAAATGAAAGAAATAAGAAAAACAACAACAACAACAGCGACGACGCACAAAAATTTGAATTCTTTTTATTCTTTACGCCCGAGGAAATTGTGTCAGTCCGAGCTGTTTAAGGTGTGCGTGTGCGTTTGCGTGTGTCTGTTTATTTATATAAGTTGCCGCTTTTCGGCGACCGTCAAGTTTGTATCTTAAGTCTTTCGTTTAGGGCCCGGCAAATTGGTTTGGGTTTTATCTGAGTTAAGGGGGCCAACCTATTCGATGAAGATATTGATCCCTGATTGGTCTACCATAGCTCGACAGCTGTGGCTAGTGGTTCAGCGGGTTCGCTTACTAGGTTAGTCGGTTAGCACCTAGTTGCCTCTGAAGCCGCTTCGTCTGCTTAGTAGGATTCTGCGGGAGATTGTCAGTGCGACTTTCTTGCTTTCCGCTGTTTCTTCTCTCATTTGCAGTGCTTTAATTTGTTTTCTTCGTTTGTTTTTTTTTCGCTGTTTAGTTTTGTGTTTTTTTTCTTTTTTTTTGGACTGGCCCCGATTCGTCTGTCTGCGCAACGCACGCAAATTACAAGCTAATTAAAGTGGCCAAAGAATTCGCTGAGAGATTGCATGCTGCAGCATCTGCAAATGCAAGCAACTGCCATTTATATTTACTTTCTTGCAATGGCACCCACGCCAAATTGCTGGGATGGATGCCTGGGAACCGAAATAATGGTCGGTATATATGGGAAACGGCTGCGACTTATTGGCTTAATTTGATTTATCGTACCGCGCCGCTTTCCCAGCCAAGTTCGTTCGTTAGTATGTACAATGTACATATATGCAAAGGCCACAAAAAAAAAAAAAAAACCAGAAGCGTCGCCATCTCCCCCATGGCCTAGGATCCATTAGCGGGATATGCTGTGCAGGTGTGCGAGATAAATTAAAGACATCGAGCCTAGCCAGCGCCATGACAACGGCAGCATCCTCACGTTCGTGCCGCAAACTGTGAGGCGGCGCATCATTTCATTCAATTATTTGCTTGCCTTGCACCCAAAGGCAGCCTGGCAAAAGACGCGAATATCGGCAATCTCTAGCTGGCCCACGTCTGCCATAAGTTTTCATGCTGGCTGGCCTTGGCTGCCTTTTCTAAACTGTCAACTGCCACTGCCGATGCAGCCAAATTTTCACTTTTCATCTGCACAAAAGGTCAGCAGCATCTCCGGCTAGAAAAAAACAACATTGATGCAGCTGGTGGTAAGCAAGCATTGCCATTGCCATTGCCTTGGAGCAGTTTTCCTGGCCTGGGTGTAGTTAGCATTCAGATTTGTCAGCTCCTTTGGGTAGCCAACTATATAAATAACAAAGTAAAGAAATAAGGAAAGAAAGAAAGAAAGACTTTCCTTTGCACTGCACAACCTGCACACACTGCACACATTTGCATAGATGAGAAGTGAAAACCAAGGCATAACAAATGTCTTCATTATGATGTTAGGAAGTTAAGGCCCAGTCAAATCAATCACACGACCTTTCTGCCGTATCTTATAACCGCAAAACGGTCCGCTTAGCCGGGAGTCATAACCCCTAGTCATAAAAATGTTCAAAAATAACAACAACCGGAGCATCTTTGGTGCTTCACGCCTTGTTGGGCAGTCAACTGAGATGACAGTCGCGGCAAGATCATGATGATGACGAAGCCATTGGCTGAGTGCGATTACCTAAAGCCGGAGAAGAGACTAGACGAGACGAGACGAGCTGCTGTAATAGCCTGGCCAAGACCACGATGGTTACGACTACTGCTCCACAGTCGTAATAGTCGTAATAATACGCTCATGTTAATGACTCTTGCTTTCGATGGAAAGCCAAAAATAGGGGGCTATGAATTTCTTCAGCAAATTGCAACGCATCTAAGAATAAACTAAACTGTTTTTTGAAAGCGTGCGAGTATCGCCCGCTTGCAGGCATAAATAAACAATTAACCAGCCGTTATTGTTTCGTTTGCAATTTGAGAAATTAAGCCGCACCAGTGACCGCCCCCTGCATATAAACTTTCCTTTGCCTTGTCACTTGCAGACGACCGCTGCTGAATCTCAAAAACAGAAGCCAAGAAAAAAACAAAGCCAGAGTGAAAATGAAAGCTGGCCGCGCCTTTGGCTGCCTCTTCTGGGCCCTGCTCTATTGTGTGCTCTATTTGGACCTGGTCAGTGGCCATTCCGCCGACGATGAGCTGATGGACTTTGACTTTGCCGACTCCAAGGATGCTGTGCAGGAGGACTGGCAGTTGGATGATTTGGAGGAGGCCCAGCAGGCGGAGCAGGCGGACAAGAAGTTGGAGTCGAATATGCTGGACTTTAGCGTGGATCTGGATGAGCCGGAACCGGAGAGACAATTGCCACCATTCGACTGGCGGGAACGGGTCTTGAGGAACGCCCTGGCCAAGGCCTTGGCGGACGAGGGATTGCGTCAGAAGTTCGTGGAGGTGATGCCCATTCTAAGGGTGCTTTCCTCGCAGCAGCGATTGGCTTTGTCCGCTCTGATCTCGGCTCAAATGAACGCCAAGAAGGGACACGAACTAAAGTTTGAACAGGTGAGTCTTAGGATATTCCATATTGTATGGATGTATGGATTAATATTTAAATACCTGAATATAACATGAGGGATAATATTAGACATATGAAAACCTATTATGATTTGTGGATGTTATTGGATCGCTTAAGAAGCTCGACATAAAATGTATAATAAAAAGTTTAAAACTTTTTTAATCTTACAATTATTTATTCATATTGAATTTTCTTTTGTTTCTGCAGGTTCGCATGATGTTTGGCAATGACAAAAAGCTGCTTCTGCCCATAGTCTTCGATATCGCCAATCTGATAAAGAGTTCCACCCGCAAGTATATTAATCTGGAATCGGACTCGGCATCAGCTGCACTTTTCCACACCCCCATCAATCGTCGTGAAGATGATTTGACTGCCGAGGAGTCCCAGCAAGACGACCAAGTGGGCACCATTGCCGTTAATGTGGAACCAAAGGGGGTTTCTCCGCGGGAGGAACCCTTTGAATCCCTAGAGGATTTCTTCGATGAGATGGGAACAGAAGTGCTCGATCCGCAGATGATAAATGAGGCCCTGACAGGCGATCTTCATGGCAACGAAACAAAGCCTGCGAAACCGGAAAACCATGGTCAAAGAGTTCGACGATCGGCAAATGAGTTTGTCCACAAGTTGACTCGATCTGTGCCCGCTTCTGTGTCTGAACAGCAGCTTTTGGGTGGCATTGCTGGGCGTACTATCAAACTGAATACCACAGCCTTTCAGCAGGCAATAAGTCAGGAGGCGAAGGAGGAGCAGGTGGCTTCCTCTAATGATGACCAGTCCTATTTGGCGGTAGAGGATCTTGCTTTTGCTGGTTTGAATGGCACTGAAATTCCTCTAAGTGCCGATGAGAGATTAGACCTGCAGCGAAACAGCGCCGAGGATGCAGAGGAACCGCTACCCAGTCCCGAGGAACTCATTGCCGGACCACGTTACCGGCTGGGAAAAAGACCATTGCATGGTCAAAAATCGGGATCACCCATTAAGAGGAAGAGGGTGCAAACATCTGTGAGGGGAAGACCCAAAACAGCCGCCAGTTCCCACAAGCCCGTGGTGACCGCATCTCACAAGAAGTGCGAACGATTCACCAGCAACATGTGCATCCGCACCGACGACTATCCGCTGTAAGATCCCCGTAGCTAGTTGGTGAGCGGTTGCCCCAGGGTCCTACTGGTTCCGGTCCATAGTCCTTAGTCCTAGTTTAATCCGAATTTTAGCCCTAATAAACATTAATATATACAACTCACTGGCCCAACGTTCCCTTGCACTTATATGCTTAGTTACTGGTTTTGGTTAGCGTTCCCATGCAAAAAAGCAGCTGGAAACTGTATTTTTTATCTTAAACTCCCAGCGAACAGATCATGGGCAGCATTCGAAGACACAAGAATGCCATGTCGGCTCTTTTGGCCGAGTTCTACGACAAGCCCAACAATAATCTGGAGTTTGGCGACGAATTCGATGACTTCAGCCTGAGCAAAAAGAGGTGAGTTAAAAGAAAGGCAGGTATAAATGGGCTTGAGGTGTGGCTTCGGGGGCAATTTAAGAGATAAACTTTCTGTTTAGCAGAATTTATTGATAGACAATCAAAGTGAAATTTTTCTGATGTTTTAGTAGGGCTCACTTTGAAAAACTATAACATTTTCGATTAGTGGTCCAAGTTTGAGAGTGTGTTTTTTTATGAATCAAATTAAAATCAAAGCCACTTTATACAGTCATAAAAATTTTAGTTGTAAAAAATTAATATCTTACTATTGAATTAAAAATTATTTATAAAATATAAAAATTAAATAATTATTTTAGTTCCCATTTCATCTAAATAAAATATGACTAAAATTTAAATATATATTTTTCATATATTAAAATCAATTCCGACAATAGTCAAATAACAATTATTTAAGAATTGACACATTTATTTTAATCAATACAAAATGTTTCGATTGACCACGTTTATTTTTAACCAGTGTAGTAGTGCGATTTAAACACAAAATATTTTAAACTTTCTTTCTTATTCCAAAGCTTGCCATTTTGTCAAAATACTTATATTATAAAACTCTGACTGTTCGATCTAAATATATGAAGATTTAATTGTTTTAATTAAATCATTATATACTCAAAGAAATAATTTACAGCAAATCTTAAATCTGAAACATGCTTATGGGCGTTGTTTACTTAACCATATTTTAAATTTATCTTGTTTTCGATTGCAGGCGTGAGGATGAAGGCAGTGCAGGTGGGATGTGCCAGAGCGTGGTGCGTTATGCCCGACCCCAGAAGGCCAAGTCCGCTTCGGGAGAGTGGAAATACATTGTGAACACCGGCCAGCACACGCAGACCTTGCGGCTGGAGAAGTGCAGGTGGGTGTTAATGATTTTTCACCTGGGTAAATCCTATTAACTTGTTAACTTCACATCCGCAGCAATCCCGGCGAGAGCTGTTCCTACCTGGCGCAGACCTATCGCTCCCACTGTTCGCAGGTGTACAACTACCACCGATTGCTCAGTTGGGATAAGGTTCGGGGTCTTCATGTGGACATATTCAAGGTGCCCACTTGCTGCTCCTGCCAGGTGGATGGCTATCGGCAGCAGTTTCCACCACTCTCATCCATTCAGGCCAAGGACTATTCACCCTTGGGCAATATGAATGTCAATCAGAATGGTTACAGCACCATCAACGAGGAGGATCTTGATTATGCCGATGAGAGTGAGGAGGACGAACTGGGTCTGCGTTATCCCTCGTTCAACCATCGGGAAACCAACGAGCTGTACTCCAGCAGCAATAAGGTGCGAGTGAAGTTGCCTGGCTTGAGTTCCAGTGTGGGTCCCTACCTGAGTCCCCCGGATGATGACGATGATCGCTATGGCGGCGGCGCATTTAAGGTCTCCAGTTCTGGCTCCAAGAAGTATTACACACAGACGAGCCACCGGCGACCGCAGCAGCAGTCGGAGGCGCGTCTGGACTTGGATTTGGCACCAAGTGAGACGCATACGGACCAAGAGGTAAACCTATTCGCTGCTGGCCCCGCAGAGAAGCCGCGTGTCCCGCTCAATCGCAAGCGTATTTATGCCTCCACCCACACAGCACCCCCCACATCCGCAACCGCAACCGCATCCGCATCCGCAACATCGTCCGCAGGAGCAGGAGCTGCTGCCGTCCGCCTACGATTTCCACAGACCACAAGTAGCCTACCAGGCCGAACGGGAACAGCTGCCATTGGGCCGGAATTCGGCGGTTTCAGTGGTGCCCTCTCCGGCGGTGCCTCTGCCCCTGCCGCCCATGCCCATCAAACAGGTGGTGCAACAGCATCCCCAACAGCGGCAACACTTCCAACCGGCTACCACCGGCAGCAAGGTGGCAAGTCGCGACCCCGCTTCTATGCACCACCGCTCACAGCTGCCACGCCCACGACCCACACAGTGGCTGCCGACTCAGCGGCGTCACTTTCGACCGAGCGCACCACCGATCAGTCGACGGCACTACCACAGCCACCATCGAAGGCCAACTACCCAGTGAGCTCCATCTTCCCCAGCGGCGGCGGAAATGGCGAGGTTTCGGGCAAGCGGATCAACTATAACTACCATCCCATCATTGATTTCTTTGAGAAGAAGAGTTCTACAGTGAAACCTCTGGCCGAGGAATCTCACATAGTGGAGCAACGTATATACCCGCAGAATACCCTCACATCGCAACAGAAAGGCATGGGCATGGGCATAGGCCTGGGCATGGAGAGCATCGCTGGAGTGTACCAACATCCCATACCGGTGCCCAAAACTCACGAGCGGCGCATGGGTTTCAGGGCAAATGGTGGTGCAGGTGGTGCTGTGGGTGGTGGTTCGGCCGGCGGTTTCGCCAGCGATAACGCCTGGCTGCCCATGGTTGCGGAGTAGCTTAAGCTTAAGTCGCATGATTCCATCAACCTCAAATTCCCGCAATCTAACGTATTAACGCCGATGCCCTAGCTCGTAGTCTCTGCCCTTCTCGCCAGGAGCTTAATCTTGTAGTTTGTCCAAATGGCTCCTAATCTCAAGCCCCCCATATCCCATACCCAATCCACTCTAATGTTTAACCAACTATGTTTATTTATTTATTTATTTTTTAGTGTGTAGCGAGAAAATAAGAGACGAATTGGTCAAGACATTGGTTGACTTGTCGCCAGAGTCTTAGCAATAAATATAATTTATTAAAATCATACATTGTTTTTTAATTTGGTTTAGTGGGTTATAAAATTCAAATGGAATGTAGTTATTTTGGCTCAAGAGCGTTTACATTTTGCACTCACTGTGCTGCTGTTAACTACCACTGTTATAGGCAAATAAAAAATTTAAAGCATCTTTTAGGCGCTTTTTTTAAATTGTTGATTAATGTTAACTCAAAACTCATGCGCAACCGTTTTGCCATTAAAAGAGCTGTTAAATTTTATTGTTGTTGTTCAAAAGACTCAATAACAACTAATTACATTAATTATTTGTATGTATGTGTGGTTTTCTTTAAACACTTTTAAAATGTTTATTTGCAACTATTTCCAAAACACTCAAAATTACATTTTGTTATCAATTTTGATGTTTTATTTATTATACATCGTTTGAAGTTTATTTTCATCAAAACGGGTTTTAATTTTATTATGAAACCGCTTTGAAAACATTGAGCATACAATTTTACTGCCAGTTTTAATTTAATGTTTTAATAAAACTGAACTTTGGAGAGAATAACATTCCATAAGCTAGCTATATTTATGCCTTTTCCTAGTGGCCAATAAAAACCTATTTTTAATGAGTTCTTGAACCAAATATTTGTTACTAATAAGTAATAAATTTATTTTGTTTTACCTTTATGTGGCTAGTTCTACTATTAATCAAAGAAGAACTTTTTCCCATTTAAATTAAATTTATTTTGTTTCAATTAAAATAAGCTCTAAAATAAGTAACATTCAATGATCTAGCTTTATTTGGCAATTTATGCTTTTAACCTATAAAACGAAAGAATTTGGTTCCCATTCCTGATCAAAAATAACAACATTTGGCGTATAAAAAGTTAATGAATGAATTAATTATTCCTATTATATATTCCCACCGCTGCATACCAAAGTAGCTTATAAATCATAGCCATGTAAAGATCCTATTATTCCCGAAATGTGGAAGACACGCAAATTAAATGGCCAGTGCATAAATTATTTCACCGTTTGGTTTGCCTTTCGCCCAAATGACACAAATACATATCGGTATCAGTGGATCTGGCTCTGGCTCTGGCGAAGTTCAAGTTGAGGGTCAAGCAGCGGGCGCTAATGAGATTCGAGACCGCGAAAATAAAAACACTTACCAACACGATCGAAAACTGAATTGGAAACTAGTTTCTGCAGAGGAGCCAGAAAGTTGCAGTGTGTGGTGCGCGTATGCAAAGTGGGTTTCTAAAGCGAAACGAGGCTTAAAGCTGCGACGTTGACCAGTTATAACACTGGACGTTGAACGCTGCAATCTGCAACCTGCAACTGGCAACCAGCAAACAGCAACTTGCAACGTCACTCGGCTGGCCAGTTTCGCTTTCATTTGCTGCCGAAGCAAACAAACGAGCGATGACGACGCCGATGACGACTCCAAAGACATCTATCTCGTCACGAAAGAAAGAAAGAAAGAAAGGCTTGCGGCGATCAAACTGGAAAATGGGGAAAAACGTCGAGGAAATTTTATAAAGACCCAATGATAGCACACTTGCTGCACAGTTGTCGGTCGGCCGTCGAACGCGAAAGTGAAAAGTTGCATTTCCCCGACCTTGGGATAGTGTGCGATAGTAAAAGTGGCAATGGCAGTGCTCAGGATTTGCGCGCTACTCCTCCTGTACTCGCAATTAAGTCAGGCGATCAAAGTGGATAGTCTGGGGAGGGATGGAACTCCTACTAGCAGTTCTCCAAGTCCCCCCGTTTATAGAGTGTCTAAGCCCGAGCCCAAGCAGCCCGAAAACCGAGTGCCCCCACATCTGCAGGACATTCGACCTGGCTATGTGGACGACGATGCCGGGGATGTGATCAGGATCATTGAGCCACCTCAGCATTTCCAGCAGCTAAAGCGCCTGCGGCAAAGGCAACCCACCAATCCACCTGTGGTCTGGGAACAACCCAGAAAACTGTCCTCTAACAGAGCTAAAATCATACCCCAAAGAGACCTGCTCACTCAGGAAACTCAAGTTCAGAATGCCCCCAATCAGCTGCAAATTCCCGTGGAAATCCTTGCTTCTGTGCGTAAAACAGAGCGTTTGTTGCAGCGCCACAGACACAAGTTGCCATTGGTGAGGCAACGTCATGTTCAGCGACAAAGTCACACGTTGATAACCCAAAAAACGTTGGAGCAGCAGATCTACCATCGTGGCCAACAGCAAAGGCTAAGAGCGGTGCTGAGTCGCAATCAGGAGCACAAGAGGAGTAAAAGAAATAGGAGGCAAGTTCCGGAGAAGAAAAGGGAAACTTATGATGTGCAAAAGGGTTTGAAACTGGTGGCTCACATTGGGGATTTGTTGAAAAATGCCACACAATATTTGCCCGACGAGGGTGAAACCGCCAATGAGGTGAAGAGGTCACCAATATGCAGCAATGCCACCAACTGCGACCATCGGCGACGTCGCCAAAGACTTTTCAAACAGCGAGCCAAGTCAGCAGAGCGGGAAAAATTGAAAGAGAGGCGGCGACACTTCCGCAACGAGGCATTAACTTCCACAGAGGCGACAATAACAACTACCACTGGCAAATCGGTGTTTTCAAGTGCCAATTCAATTGCGGAAACTTCCGCAACTCCGCTGGCCAGTCGCCTGCTCAATTCACGCAAATCCAAATCCACATCCGAATCCAAATCACCAAATAACAACCGCAACTTGGGCCGCAGCGATGACTCCATACTCTATGCGGATGTAATGACGAATATACGCAATTTGTGGCAGGAGCACGATCTGTTGGCGGGACCCAAGTTTATTGGCCCCAGTGAAGTGGCCAACAACACGGACTATCGCGCCTTGGACGTGTATCTCAAGGACCTGGATGACTTGGCCAAAAAGCTGCCCACTGTGGCCCCCATAACTGGCCTGAATCAAGAGGAACTGCAGAGGGCCACTCCCACGCCCAGTTGGTATCTGATAAACTCAGAGGGCGGCATCTACGAGACCCGACTGGACAGTCAAACCAAGCCTTCCTCATCGCTTTTCCATCGATTTCCCGACATGCCCAGCCAAAATCAGAGTGTGTCCACATTGGACTACGAGTAATCCGTCCTCTTCGCGTGCTTAACTAGTTGTTATTTATTTATTTACAAAGAATAAAGTATTATTACAGAATCAGAAGAACCTTATGTGTTAATATTTGACCCATAGTAAAAAAAATCTTTTAAGAATATTTGTAAGGTAAGTTTTCATGTTTTCAGAAAAGCTAATTCAAATCTTATTTTTGTTAATATTTTAAAAATTTTGATAGGCAATTTTAAAAATAAGTTTCAACTTTGTATGTGCTTATATTTATACTATAATTTTAGAAATGTTTTAAAAAAGCTTTAGTGGCTAAATTGTTGATTTTTTTAGGGCTTAAATCTCATTTCTGATAATATTTTTAGTTGTTAATCTTGTTTTAATCCTGATATTATTTCTGTTACTATTTATAATATTTTCATAGCTAATATTTTGGGACCATACCAGTATGCTTAAAGTTTTCATTTGCTTTTCTAAGCTCGCATTTTCTAAATTGTTTTTATTCGTTGAATTTTTGATTACATTCTCGTATATATTTTCATTCCACGAACTTTGTAATTATTTACAAATAATAAGGTACTAGCCCTGGAACTCTTCACCTCACCTCTTTCAATGCCACATCTTTGGGGGGATTCTTGATGGGCAACCAAGCATTTAACTTGGCTAATTACAACAGCTCCCAACTCAAGTCACAAGTTCTTGGCTAATGCGGCAATTTAGATAAGCCCAAACTGGCAATTAGCCCCGAGTTTCAACTTCAGCTTCAGCTTTGGCTGGCAAACGTGCGAAACGCATTGTCCCAAGCCCTGACCCCGCCTAACATGCAAAGTTGTGAGAAGATTTTCGGCAATTAACTGGAGGTGCGGTTAACTCAGATGAAGCGGAAGAAAATACTGGTGACCTCTATTACAGGGGAATTAGATCTCAAAGATCTCACAGATCACTCGCATCCCTCACCCAGATGATACTAGTTTGGTCTCTTAGTTAGCTAATTTTGTGGGTCTTCCATACCTGTATTCTTGGAACATTTTCATTTCCACATTCGTTTTTTGGCTACTAAACCAAGTCCGACGTTTTTTGGGCGGCATTTTTTTTTTTTATGGGATTAGAATGTTGTCCAGCCACTTTGTCAAAGAATTATTTAATTTATAGAGCGTGTGTTGGCTTTTTATGATTATTATTTTTGTGTGTTGGCGGGGCGAAAGATAAATTAGAGTGGAACGATATCGTAGGGTAGAGAAATCGGTCCACATTATGTAAGCAAATGGATTCCTGGCCTTTATCGAAAAGAAGAGGGGCACTGCCCATTGCGACATTGACCCCACTGATCACAGACGAAGTGGGCGGAGCGGGCGGTGGGTGGCAAGCGAAAAACAAGCAAACATAAGTTGGCCCAAAGCATTGTAATTAGCAGTCGGTCATGCAAGAAATGGAAGCCGAAGCCTCCCCCCCTGGCCAATTCATTGATGTTTCGTTTCGGTGGGGTTTTCTTTCGGATTGTTAGAAGCACACGCAGCTAGAGTCGCCCAAATTGGAGGGGGAAAAGCGTTTTTCGCTTAGACAATTGTTTTGTCGCTGCGCATTGATGGCAATGGCTGGCGTTGCAAGAATCGCTATTGGCCATTATAAAAGCCCGCTGCACGATCCCAGAGTCAGTCAGTCAGTTGTTGTAAGCCCCGAGTGGCAATTCCCAACTCGTTGTAAGCCCAAAGGAAATCCGCAAAAGTACACTCAAGTACTCGCCAAGATGTTCCAAGCCAAATCCGTTTGCCTCCTGCTCGCCCTCTGCCTCTTGGCCTTTATTTTGTCCGGATCTGAGGCCGTGCCACGCCCACAGGAGGGTCGGGAGGAGGGCGGCGACCAGGAGGCCAACGTGGAGGCCGAGGAGAAGGATCTGGAGGGAGCCGCCTCCTTTGGATATGGATACTACTCATCGCCCTACCTGGGAGGCTACTACGGCGGCGGATATTGGCCGCATTACAGCGGTAGCTACTACGGAATTGGTAAGTTATCTTTGTTCATAAGGAATTGCTAGGACAAGTTGGGAAAATAAAGAATTGAAACACATCCTACTTTGATAGTTTGTAGTGTTAAATAGTAGATAGATTCACTGGATTAGATATCTCGTAAAAAATTACTTGTTAAATTTCAAAGTTTAATTGAAAGTTCCGCATTACAGCTATAGCCACACTAAATTGGTAAGACAAGTTTGAAGAACAATGAGTGGGAACACATCCTGCAAGGATAATGTTTGGTGTTAAACAATAGATAGATTTATTTATTATTTATACCTTAAAAATCTAATTAAATACTTTATAGTAGAAGATTTATTGCATAAAAGATTGGTAAAATAGAAGCACTTAAAATTTGTTGAACTTTAAGAAAGAATTTATTTAAAATTTAATAAAATACTAATAATACTTGTTAAATCCATCCTTAGGCTATCCCTACTATGGAGGCTACGGTGGTTACGGTGGCTACTACGGACACCATGGACTCCATGGACACTATGGCCACTACTTCTGAGAAGGAATATTAGCCTTAACACAAAAAACAAATCGTTTCCAGCCTCAGTAGAACTGCATTAGCACTAGACATCTGCCAACACTAGCTCGTTTAGAAAGAAATAAGTAGCGAAATAGAAGCCGACAAAGATATCATTAATAGCAATAGCCAGCACTAGCCTCAATTGCCAGACGATGCGTTCTTGACCGAATGGCAAACAGATTAACTGCACTGCCCCCTTTGTGCGAGGATAATTGCTTCAATTAAGCAGAAAATCACAAAAAAAGAGTACAACCATCTTAATATTACATAAATAAATGTTATACTTTGTACAAATTAATGCCTGCGTGTTTGATGGCTACCGTTGATTGTTTTAATTTTACTCTTAGCTCGGCTTGCTCGTTATTTTATGCCATCGTAAAAAAGTTTAGACACGTCAATCACATGGAAGCGCCCACCTAATTTGCAATTCAAATGGAGCCAACCAAACATTGGCTTTATATCGCTGGCCTAATCTAATTAATAGGGGTTTTATTTCAGAAGCAAATTAACTGTACAAATTGGAAAGAACTGAAGCAAAGTTCAGCCATAAATGGACAGCAATAAACGGCAGAAAAGTACGAGTTTGCTTCGGATACTTGACTCCTGTTGTTCCACACCGCGTATGCGTAATTTATGAGTGGAATACCATAAATCGCATAAATCGCATCAGACGAGCGGGCATTGTGTGTAAGCCAAGTGTCTCGGATTCTCAAAACAAACCCGCTTTAAGACAATTTGTCTTGATCGGATTTTGACAGGCAACAATCGGATATTGGAAGTCGCCAGACATCAAGACAGCAGACTAAAAGGTCACGGAAGTGACGGACAATGGACATCGAAGATTAACGGCGGTGCTGGTGCGACAATAATCGTTTGATTTCACAGAGGAACCTTTGCATAAATTTAGTCACTGATCTAAGGCCAATCGGTAGCCGAGAAACGAAATTCTCCAATTGACCTCTGCATTGAAACTTTTCTTCTTGGCTTACAAACGTCAACATCAAGAACGTTTCATCTATCTTCGAATCGTACTCAAAATTCGATGGCCAGACAATAATAGCGTTAAATTGGTTATTAAAAGATCGTTTAGCATTTCATTGTTGATCTGAAGCGTGACTAAGCTCGAAATATTGCTTAAATATGATTATTATTTATTCATCAATCTGAAATGACTCACTTAAAGATATCTTTAGGAAATCTTGCCAAAATAGACGCAAAACTTGTTTTAATTAGACTTGGGAGAATTTTGTCTGGTCGCTTTGCTCTTGTGGCTAAATAAATTAAGTCAGCTGACGCTAACACCGACATTCATTGCACTTTCTCACAGTCACGAAGTTTTGCCCACTGGAATCTCTAGATCATTTCGTTTTCTAGGCTAATAAATCAGTAAGCAATAGAGCAAAAAAATATCAGCTAATTGATTGTTTGTTTTAGTTGATTTTACCGAAAGATCGTTGATGTTTTTTCCCTATTTATAACTTTCATTAGCCGAAAACCAAGTTATTTAAACTCATTGAAAATTCGTGCCCCATTGTTAAATAGAAAAACCATTGGAATTTATCCATGGTCTTCTTTGTTGTTTTTTTTTCAGCTGAGTTATTGTATCTTGCTTGATATTTAATTTGGGCAGCGGACACTCGAGTTCAAGTGCACTAAATGAGAGAAGAAGAGCACAGTGTTTCGTGTTTTAAAAGACTTGGGCACATTTGTAAATAAACTATTGAGGGTAAGAAAAAACTTTATCTTATAAAGTGATTTATAAATAAATAACTATGATATTGAAATAATGATTAGCCTTGAACATAGTTAGCTGTAAGTAAAACTTTTGTTTTTTAACCTGTTCAGACCTTTATTTTATTTTTGCCCCACTGTTCAATCAGCATATTTATTTGTGATTACAAAAAAAAAAAAAAACGATATAGTAATTTGATTGGTGTCCGAGTGTTTGCTTGTTCAGCCATGCGTGGGTCGCTTTATATCTCAATTTGATGCTAAGGCGATCATCATTAGCGGACTATGTGGAGACTGCATTCACAATGCAGTCAGCACTTGATACGATAATAATTTCAGTAAAGTAAATTATCAATCTATATGCCGATGGCATTAATTCCCTGTATCCGTCAGCAAGAGGGCTTAAAGGTGTCGCAATCTGGCTTCAGCAAGCAGCAGGCGCTTTGAGAAGTTCCTGCTGCGACAGGTTCGTGTCTTAAGTCTTTCGTCTTTCGTGGAATTAACTTGTCAAGCACGTATTATTTCAGGTTGAACAACAATCCCCATCCGCAATGTTGTGGCAGTCCCGGGTAAAGGCAGTCCATTCTTCCTTGCCACCAAGGTCGCTGCGGCTTAAACGCACTTGAACCCTTAATGCACTGAAAAAATTGAATTGGTTTCTTTAAAGATTAAAAAAAATATATTTAAAATGTTCTTTAATTTGATTTGTTGATGAATAAATTATGGTTTTATTGTTATAAAAAAAGAAAATATAGGTATATGATTAAGGATTTTTACCTTATGGTAAGGCAATTTTTTTTTTAAATGAAAGGTATAAACACCAAAGACATTAGAATGTAATAGATGTTTTGCCTAAAAATAACTAAAAGCAATGCATTTTTGCTAATATCAGATTAGGTATTTTTTTCTGCGCTGGCATCCTGGTGCTGGCCCTCAAAATTGGCCATTGAACTTGCGGCCAAACTAGTTTTCCCCCAGCTTCTTATCGTTTTTGGTGGCAGCTGCTGGCGTGGCTTTTGCGGTTGAGTGGCGAGAGTCGAGGCGACTTGGCCGGATTGTAATGGTAAGCATTTTGCATACCAAAGGCATTAAAGCCGTTCGGCTTTGACCTTGCCCAATCCGATCTTCGCGTAGGTGAATAGAGCACAGCAGGGTGTACCTTAATGTGTGTGGCATGCTCGACTTGGCAAGAGGCAAGGGCAATCAATTGTGGCAGACCCACCGAAAAGTCCGCTCCAAATGCAACCGACCAGAAACATAAACGAAACCGAATAAAGAGAATTTTCTAGGCTTGGAGACTCTGTTCGTTATTTAATTTCCAGTCAAGCTCTTTAATTAGCTGTTAACTTCCGCAACATTTGTGCCAAAGAACGCTTGTCTTGCCAAAAATACAAAATAAAACAGAAAAATAACAGATCCAAGTATTTATTCGTTGTGGGTGCGATCAATGGCTGAAAGTGATTTATGAACGCCTGCTGAGCCATAAATATTTATGGCAATTGTTTCGCTTCGATTTGCCAAGCCGTTTTAGGCTTTAATTAAAGTGCTTAGTACTGGGAACTAGTCTACGAACTCTCAACTGTCGGAAACGACTCTCTGCCCAAAAAAAATCATAGGTTTCCATTAGCTGCAGCCAAGTGCTGACAGGAAGTTCTCATCTCTCGGTTCTAGCCATGAATTATGACCAAAATTGACCAAGTCTGCGTGCAAGCGAGCGAAGCGAGAAGCTTCAGCGTTTTTAGAAAGGCGAAACCGAAATGGAAATCGAAATCCTGTGCCACTAAGGTCACATTCTGGCCCGATCAAGAACCCGTTCCCAGTCACTTCCTCCTTTGTAACAGGATCAGCTTGGGATTCCGCTCCATGTGCTGGCCATTAAGCGGGTATTCTGGTTCTCAGATCGCACATCTCCATGCCTCGACGACCTTGAGACGAGAGTGCAAAAAATCTGTTCAGATGTTCGCTGTGTAGGTTGCAATTAAGCTGAACTTGTTATGGTCGCCGGTTTCACTTCGGCGGTTGCTCACCGCCGTTGGCTTTATGACCGAAAAAATTGTGCTTAATGAAAAAACGAACCGACGCCCCATCCATCTCCCCCCACTTTCAGCTAATCGCTTTGAAAGTTGTTATAAATTTGTCACTTAAATTCATTACAACGATTGGATCCATTGTCACTCGCGTAATTAGATATTGATGAATGGACCTTTGTGGGTGGTTCACTGTAACGGGCGGAGTACATAAGCTTTTCTGAGGACTTGGTAAGTAAAATATATATTTTTTTATAACTAGAACTAGTTGATTTGACCTTGACTTGTGACATTTCATTTCCTTTATTCTCGTTTTATTACTTGCTAAATTATTTCTTTTGTTTGGGAACTCTAAAAATATTACTAATTTATATTCGAGTTATTGCGACGAAAATGAAATTTAAGTAAGCCTGAGAATTCATTAATTTTATACTCTTATTAAATTGTTAATTGCTAATAAATGTGACATTTATATTGAAATAAAACTTTAATTTTAAATAACTTTTTATTTTAAAACGTTGCCCTTTTTTTTGCAATATAAAATAATATTATCTCGTAAATTTAACATATTCATTTATTAAGTGTATCAAAAGTTTTGGCTTCAGAAATTTATGTCTTTGATTCGTCATGCGGGATTGTTAATATATTCGCGAATAATTTGTAGCAGTTCGATTTATACAAGTAGTAAACGTTAAGTATTTTAAAACACACATTTCGTGAACCTGTGAAATAAATCTAGCTTAAATTTAATTAGTTCGTGTTGTGTCATTTACCTTTCGGTTTTTATTTATAGCCCACCTCGTCTCCTAAATTAAAGAGTATGACAAGCTGCGCCTTCTTGAGTTTTACTTTCATTTGTCATATTTGATTGTTTATTTATTTGTGAGTATTTTGTATCAATTCGATTGGTACAAGTGCTAAAGCGCCCTGAGGTTTAATGAACTGTTGGCGGATTTGTTTTGGGTGAAAACCATTGGGACTGAATCACCTGCTGATTATTATTGTTGGTTGTTGGTTTTATGAGCGTTTACCTTGCGGTTGTCGGTGGCGAATCATTTGTATGCCATGGGCGAAATTGTCCCAGCGAAATGCATAAAAACTTCAGCTGGCTTATGTATATTATTTATGATTGTACTCTAGTGAATCTCAATCAGGTTCTGGCCACATCCTAGTTGCAATCATAATAATCCCTGCTAATATATTATTCGATTTCGAAGCTCTAGAGAATCTGAAAGTTTGCAATCAAAAGCTTAACATTCTCGAGATGCTAAAAAGTTGTTAGTGGCTGTTAGTTTTAGTGCTAAGCCGCTTAAAGCGAATAGAATTTCCAGTTATCCACGCAAATCTAGTAGAACTTCGGCGGAAACTCGACTCATCTGTGGCAGCCGTCGATCATCTCTGCTCTAGCTCTCTAAGTTTTAATTATCGGCTGGCTATAAACGATTTCAGTTCAGTTCAAGTTGTTAATGGCATTTCATTATGTATGTTTCATACTCGTAGTTTTGAAAGTTGAAATACTTGAGTCGAATCAAATGGTTGTTGTACACAACGCATCTTGTACGGGTATCTTCCGGTTTTCGTTCGATTTATGATTATTATTAATAATTGAATTTCTATTTGTTCGACGAGCCGCGAACATAGACCAGCATCTTTTTGTGGTTTTGTTTCGCTCGCAGGGTTTCTTTGTTTAGTTTTTCTTTTTTGGGTATTAGTGCTTAATTTAATGGAATCAACAATGGAAACCGTTGCTTGATCGATTGTCTAATTTGTCAGCCAAAGGATTAGTACGAGAATCAACATTAATAAGCCATTAAAAGCGGCATGAACAAGGTTTTGCCCCCACCTTCCCTTTCGATCGCAAAAGGGTGCAGTTCCGCTTGATTGATGAAATAAAGCCGAAGCTATCAGATCGCTTTTCACACTTTTGGCCAGCTCCACTTCTACTACTACTTCTACTTCCACTCCGCTGGGGTTCTTTTCCCCGTCATTTAAGTTAACTGCCAACTAAGGTCATTCAACAACCCAAATAAAAGCAAATCAAAACAGCTTCAAGTTTGGATTTTGGGAGTTCTTTTTGCACTTCGATCGATATAAAATCAATGAAGGTCATCGCATCCCAACTTAACTCACTTCAAACGGTAGCAAAACTGCAAGGCAAAATTTGGGCACGCTTGCAACTAGTTTTCGGAAGTTATAAAAAAGGTTTTCTTATTGGGAGTTATAGACAGCAATCAGTTTTTTGGTACGACTTTGATATGCGTTGCCATTATTTTTGTTTTTTTTTAAGATCACTCATTTATTTAATATATAATATACATAAAAATGATTTCTGTTGGTAATTAAACATTTAAATTAAACATAACTCCTCTATCTTTTTTAACATAGTTGTTAAATAGCCCACATAAATTGTATTTATTTATAAGCTTCAGATTTCCTGAGTCATAAGTTATAACAATAACAAATAAACTGATATCTGTTAACTTATGATATTAAGAAATTTTTTTATGAAGTCAATATATCTAAAAATAATAACACACAAGAAGTTTTATATCAATTGTAAATTATATGCTTTTTCTTTACCGATATTGTTTAAAATTACCAACCATTTAACTTTTTATTTCGATTATTTTACTCGACTTTGGAAGTTAAGTCTTTTAAGTTTCTTTCTTTTTTATCTTCCCTTTATCTGCCCAAATAATTTTCGAACTTTCAACCTTTTCTTTTACTCTTGTTTTTTTATTTTATTTCAGCACTTAAGTCTCATGAGTTTCTTAATTTTGTATAAACTTAGTCAAAGGATCCTTTGGCGTTCCCAGTTAATTTTGTAAATTATCAGCACTTTGAACTTTCCTTTTTCTTTTTTTTAAATGTAATTATTTCTCAGCTCAAGCACTGTAACTACCCAAGGTCGTCTCATTGCTACTTTTGGCGCATAATGATGGCAATTTGAGGGCCAATTTGTGGCTTCTTCTGCAGCTCGCAAAGCCATTGCTTAGTCAAATATTTTAAAGCCAAGGGGGCGGAGCTCTTCAATCGATTAGCACCCTGAAGACCGGCTAATTGTGGGCACGCACGAAGCTGAAGCTCTAGTTCCGAGTGCCAAACCATCACAGGTGGTCTGCAGACTCAGTCTCGAACTAAGTCCCACCTGGAGAAAAATCGATCGGCGGTACGAGGTATGCTTGTTGGCACTGCACTGCGAATGCGTGGCGGCAGCCGAGCGGCTCGGTCGGCCCTCCTCGGCAGCGGAGACTGAGAAGTCTTATAAATACGCCGGGCGTCGGCGCAGTTTTTGTTATTTGAACTTCAAATTTGCTCGAGATCGCTTCGTCTCGCGCATTCGGCCGCTAGCGAAACGCGCGCGTTTTCTTAGCGTTTTCTGAACCGCCTGCCTTGAAGCGGCGATTTTGTGTGCTTACAAGTGGGTAGCTGTTTGCCATAAACAGAGTGACTTCTATATAGAACACTTTTGGATGTAAATAAAGTGTGTTCGCAAATATATTTTAGGTGCTGACGCAAGTGCTGTTGATCATATCCAATCCAATCCAATCCAATCCAATCCAAGCCGAATTGAATCGAAAAACGCGCTGTGTTGCATCACGAGTCGAGAATGAAGATGGTGAGTGTGGTTGGCAGTGCGAAACGAGTGCACCGCAATGTGCGAACAATCAGGCCATAATCGTAACATTGTCGCGGCTAGAATCCCAGAAATATTCACACTTTTTTGAGGTGCAGTTGAATGTTAGTTTACTGCACTCTATTGCAGCCAGCAGCTTTGCAGCTTTTTCAGCAGCTCGGCAGTTGGCCTGCTGGCATCCCATGAGTTGTCTGTCAAACAAAATTGCCCAACGCCAAAGAGTTTCTAAAAAGCGACAGCGACGAAAAACAAACAAACTAACAAAAACAGAAACAGAAACAGAAACTGAAACGACTCCGCGCACTCCACTCGAGTGGAGGAGTCGCATGGTAAATTTGCATAAATGGCGCTACAATTGAAGAAAATCGGTACAAGTACAAATAAAATAACAGAAAACAGCTGGCAGCAGTCATCAGTCAGAGACGAAGACGAAGACGGAGACTTACACAGAAAAAATAGGTTCATTATCAGTAGGATACTAATTGAATTGGAAATGAACTTAAATTAAATTTATCCTTGTCTTTTTGTTTTTCACACAATTGAATAATAAAATGGGAATAAACATTATCTCAATATTTATTTGACTAAGTCGCGTACCTATCATTAATTTCATTTTGATTTAAATGTTATCCATTTGTTATTCGATTTAAAAATGAAAAATTGTTTTTTTGTGCAGTTCATCAGAGTTCAGCATTATACATTTTTTTCCAATGAAATCATAAATTACTTTTAAAAGTATCAATTCATAAAAAGACAATTGCTTATCTATCTAATTCTTAATAAATTATCAATTCATTTAGTCTTTTTGTACAATCAGTTGCGTTGTTGGTTCTTTTAAATTTCAACTGCCTCTAATTTCATATTTCAATATCATTTAAAATGTAAGTAAAATACTTTGAGTACTGATTAATAGATTCTCCAAGTACACGTATATGTTTTAAATTTAACATTATATTTTTTTGATTATTTCGAAATTCTATTTGTTATTAAGAATTTAAGAACGGTCTTATGACTAATATTTATGACTAATATATATTTAAATGTAAGGAAATAATAAATAAATGTTATATTACTTTTCGTCTGTAGCAAACACATTTTCCTAGTTGTAAAATTCATTAAAATTTTAAAAATATAAATTTAATTATAAAGATGCATAGCAGGCTTACAATTTATAATCTATTTGATTTGATTTACCCAAAGAATGAATCACATTTTATTTTAAATACATTAAAGTTATTTGAGTCATTTATTTTAAATATATTTATGTGATTTTTACTTTTAAACATAAAAAATAACACAATGCTTACCCTTGTCCACATTTTCTTTCTGTGGAGACCTGCGGCAATGGTAACTGCATTGAGTGACTCCGCCGGCTCTAAAAAGCGAATCCGAATCCAAATGCGATTCCGCTGCCAATGACTGACTCACTCGAGGGCGACTCCGGAGTTGCGACCGGAAGCGCTCATAACCGACCGCTCTGCTCCGCCCTGCGCTGCGCTGCGTTGCTCTTCACGCATGCGCGTGTTCTTGGCCATTTCAAGAGCGGCTAAACGGGCCACGATATTTGGCAATCTGGGCTTTTGGCCGTTTGAGGCTAAGTCTACTGAATCTGAAGATGCTTGAATGAGTCAATGGGTGCCCAGAACCAGTGTTGAGCAAGCGCAATTAACGCCAAAAGCCAAGCGCCAAGCGAAAAACTGATTTCCCTCAAGGTCGTCACACTACATATAAATAGATGTGCTGGTGGCACTGGTTTTATGAGATTTCACACGCCTCAATTGTGACAATTAACGCCCCCCGTTTCATGGCATTTGTCGCCCGAATTCTCTATGGTTTTTTTTTTCTCACTTTTTGTCTGTAGCCAAGGAAAATGACTCGACATGATCGGAGCAGATTCAGATTCTGGGCGCACCTCGAGCGGCAGACCTCACCCACTTTACACACTCTTCAAGCCACACAGAATTATGCCACTCGAGATGACGCTGCACATTCGGTCAGGTATTTTGTAATGGGTGCTTTAATTACGAGCTTGTAGGTTTGTATGTTGAAACTTTCAATTAAGGTCAACAGGAAAACGAATATCGTTTGGGCCCAGTTTAATTTGGAGTAACAGAAATTAATGGTAGCCCCCCACTACCATCTTTGGCAGATTCTAAATGAATATTAAACAAGCAGAATCCGCCGAGTATTATTCATGTTATGCGACACCTTAATGCGTCACTCGGCCATAAAAAAACATTTCAACACAAAAACTTAATTGGGTTCTGACTTTAATGGACATACACATATCAACGCGAGTTGTCAACTAATAACGCAACCGAAACCCAAATTATACGCAGCTAGAGAACTAGTTTCGTGAGGTGGCTGCGATTCTTGCCACAAGTTGAAGGCAGATTGGCGAATCCGCTAGAATTTAAGGCCCGACAGCTGACAAGCCGCTTGAGTATCTCACAAGTGGCATTTTTCCATAGCGATTTATCAAAGAGCTGCTCAACAAAAAAACAAAAAACATAAGAAGAATCATAAATCCATAAGAACATTGCGTGGGTTGCTTTAAACTATTTCCATTTGATTGAGATGATCTCGCTGTTTGGCGCGGCTTTTGTTCCATTTTTTATATAATTTTTTTGTTTTTGGCTGCCAGCTATTGTCTCGATTCAATTAAGGTTTTGTTTTAATGAGCAGTCTTTAACGACTCTGACTTGAAGCGCACTCGTAGAAGCCGTTTAAGTTTATTTTTAGTTTTATTTCGCTCAAATTTATGTGTTTCAATTTGAGAAATGGAATTCCGGGTTCCAAAGATTGTCTTTTGCCACGAGATAAGAGTTTCTATTTCCTCTCTCTTAGTCTGTTATCTATAGCTTAATTAGTGCTCGGCAAATTGCTGGTTTTGTATTTACATAAATCGCGAGCGAGTGGAGGGATTTCCATCTAATTTGATTTTAGCATCTCCTCGAGTTTATCGAACCGGTCGGCGTGACTTTGCCATCAAGAAGAGGCAGTGTTTTGGCCTAGCCACGAGGCCATTCACACTTGCCAGTTATTTAGAACATTTCTAGGTGGTCCAGAATGAATACCTATATAGGCGCTTTGAAAAACCAATAGTCCAATGTCGAGTGGCAGATGCGCTGACCTTGACTCTGGGTGCTGCCCGCGGCTGCTACCAGTTTTTATTTAGTTTATTCCATTAGTTTAATGCAACCACCACATGCGGGTTGGGTGTAGGCCCGAAGTCACCGCCTCTGCCAATAATCAATCAATGCGCGGGCAATTAGCGCACAAAAAAGCGTTTAATTTGGCTGGCGACTTGTTAATCAATAATGTGCGTAGAGAGCCTTCAATGAACGTGACCTAACTGGGCTGCGAATTCGACACTACGAATTCTTTGCCAAAAACTGATGGTGTCAAAAGCTGACACGGACATTTGCCAAATTGTTGAGCCTTAATTATATGCGGAAATTTTCGATTCTCTGACGGCACTGAAAATGGCCATAAACGGCCGAGGCCCACGTAAATATTGTCAGTCACTTTGACTAAATATAAATGTCCAAGACTTTGATTTAAGACCATTAACGTTTTCGACAACCAATCACTGAACGATATCTCTTTTTTCTTCTCTGTTTTGTTTTCTTTTGCAGCAGCTTCGTGTGTTTAGCCTGGCTTTGATCGCCCTAAGCCAGAGCTACTTTGCCCAAGCCCAGGTAAGTCGTTGACATATCTCATTAATCTGGGCATGCTGAGCTAATTGAATTGTCCGCAGGGCTACGACTATCCCCAACCAAAGGTGCCCTTTAACGATGGATACTCGTACCCCCAGCCAGCGATTCCCTTCCCACCACCAGCCCCGAAAGCGGTCGTGAATAGTGGCTACTCCTACCCACAGCCAGCCATTCCGTTCCCACCACCACTGCCCAAATACACGCCGCCGGTGCAGCAGATCATTCCGCAGGAGCCCAAGCTGGTCAGTGGATACTCGTACCCCAAGCCAGCGGTTCCGTTCCCACCGCCCACGCAGCCACCACAAATCAGGGTGACCTCTCCACCGCCCACTAAAGGATACGCCTACCCCACGCCATCGATTCCTTTCCCACCACCCAGCATTCCACCACCTCAACCGAAGCAAGGATACGATTATCCCAAGCCCGTCGTTCCATTTCCACCACCAACGAATCCACCACCGCAGGTGAAACAGGGATACGACTATCCCAAGCCAGCCATTCCGTTCCCACCACCCACTGCTCCGCCACAGAAGTATCTGCCACCAGTGACCACCACTCCTGCTCCACCTCCGCCGACTGTGAAGTACCTACCACCACCGCAGGTCAAGCAGGGTTACGATTACCCGAAGCCAGCCATTCCATTCCCACCACCCACGAACCCACCACAGAAATACCTGCCTCCCGTCGTGCCCACCAGCCCACCTGTGCCCAAATACATTCCCCCACCCACTCCCACCTACATTCAACCACCGCCAAAGAAGCAGGGATATGACTATCCCAAGCCCGCCATTCCATTCCCACCCCCAACGGCGCCACCACAGAAGTACCTGCCTCCTGTGACCACAACTCAAGCGCCACCACCACCCAAGTATCTGCCACCACCTCAGGTGAAGCAGGGATACGATTACCCCAAGCCAACCATTTCATTCCCACCACCCACGGCTCCACCACAGAAATATTTGCCACCTGTAACCACAACTCAAGCACCACCACCACCCACAGTGAAATACCTACCTCCACCACAAGTCAAGCAGGGCTACGACTATCCCAAGCCCGCCATTCCATTCCCACCTCCCACGAATCCCCCACAAAAATACTTGCCACCTGTTGTGCCCACAACTCCGCCACAGCCAAAATACTTGCCGCCCGTAAAGCCGACCAGCCCGCCACAGCCAAAATACTTGCCACCTCCCCAGGCCAAACTGGGTTATGATTACCCCAAGCCTGCCGTTCCCTTCCCCCCACCCACTAACCCACCACAGAAGTATCTGCCACCTGTTGTGCCTACGACTCCACCGCAGCCCAAGTACTTGCCACCTGTGAAGCCAACAAAGCCACCGCAGCCGAAGTATCTGCCACCCCCGCAGCCCAAGTCGGGCTATGATTATCCCAAGCCGGCCGTTCCATTCCCACCACCCACTAACCCACCACAGAAATACCTGCCACCAGTGATCCCAACTTCACCGCCAGTGCCAAAATACCTGCCTCCCACAAACCCACCAACGCCCAAGTACTTGCCACCAGTCCAGGTAAAGCAAGGCTACGACTATCCCAAGCCCGCCATTCCATTCCCACCACCCACTGCACCGCCACAGAAGTACTTGCCACCTGTTACCACCACTCAAGCACCACCTCCACCACCACCGCCCACGGTGAAGTACCTACCTCCACCACAGGTGAAGCAGGGCTACGACTATCCCAAACCCGCCATTCCCTTCCCACCACCCACAAATCCCCCGCAGAAGTACCTACCTCCACCACAGGTGAAACAGGGCTACGACTATCCCAAGCCAGTCATTCCATTCCCACCACCACCCGCCCCAAAGTCCGAGGGCTATTCCTATCCGAAGCCGGCGATCGCCTTCGACTTCTGAAGCACCATCATCCGTCGATTGGCCACTCATCACTGATTAAATGACACAATAATTGCCTCTGTGTGCGCATAGTGATCCTTAGGAACGTACGAAATTGAATAATTGTAATTAACTGTAATATTTAATTTAATACTTATCTTTAATGATGTACCGGGTGTTTTGCCTGCGGACTCTCCAATCGAACTTAGTCATTAAAATATGTTTATTAAATTTATGTTTTAACGATTACGCAATGCTGCCGGAAATAAAAACGACAATGTGAATGTTTAAAATGATTTTTTCAGTTTGTTGAAAGGCAATGTATGGGTTTAAAGGAAGAGGTTTAAAACTCATAAACAAGATTTTGAAGATACACAAATAAACATAATGACATATTCAAAGACAGGAATGTAAACAACTAGGTTTTTTAATTATTTCAAACAAATGTCCAATGCCTGCATAAAAATGCCTATGAACAATATGCGATCAAAACTTAAAATGGTCAAAACCAGATTATAATCATCACGCCAGCCGAAAAGTATGCTACAAATGGGCGCCAAAAAGAATGCCAAAGACTTCGATTTGATAGCTTGAAAAGACAATGCAGTCTTTAAACAAAAAATTAATGTTAAATCATCAAACGAGTTTCTGCATCTTGCGATGAACTAGTTTTAAAAGCTCATTTATTGTCCATATAATAAATAAGGACTTTTGCTTAATAATCGCAAACGACGATGATCCTGATCACGAGAATGTATCCGTTATACGTTCAAATTAATAGTAAAAAATCTTGATGAAATTATGTTTACCATTAGAACAGCTTACGTTTTTAAAGGTAATGATTTTGTTTTTGCTTCTTTAATTTAATATATATATAGAATAAATATCGATAAAAGGATTTTTTCTGTCTGCTTTTTCAGTGTAGTGTATCTGAACTTTGAGGTGGCATTGGAAAGAAAAAGTGAAAGCGGTAGGAAGCAAGACGAAGCGAGACGATAGTTTAGTGGCAGCCGAAAAGATGCTCCGTAATCGGATTAATACTACAACTCGGGTGTTATCAATGTATTGCATAGACATGTCAAATTCGTCTCTGTTTACTAATTTTCGGTCCATTATTTTTGGCCAGTATCTTCTGTAACATTTGATTAGACACATTTCAAATTAACAGCTCAGCCGAAAAATATACTACACATTAAGGCCATAAAGTATGCCCCAAATGATCTAAGAGTTGGCTTTGAACTTGAAGCTTGAGACGACAATGCACTTGCTGAGCAAAAAATTAATTTCAGATCATTAAACGAGTTTCCGCATCTCGAACTGAACTAGTTTGCTTTCAGCCGCCGGATCGTCTCCGCTTGACGACAGCTCGGCGTTAATGCTAAATAATCGCCCGTTTTAATGGCCTAAGCTTTTTACTTAATTATGCAATATTATTGTTAAGCAAATAAGTGTGCTACCAGCAGCCATGTTTCCTGTTTGGGGAATATTAAATAAGGCAGTAGGATTATTTTTCAATATTTTTATTAATTATGACTTTCTCAATTTCGTTCCCAAACAACATCGGTCGTCAAGACCGAACAACCCAGAGTCAAATAAACAGGATTTGACTTGGTTTTGCTTGGGTGCGCTGACTATGAGCCTCTAGTAGCGGTGACGGCGGAGGACCACGCGACGCTGGGTCTTGTAGCGGTACCCATCGTTGGAGGAGAAGGAGTGGGCGGGCTCGGAGGCGGCGGTCTCGTAGCTCTCAGCGGGGGCGGAGTACGAAGCAGCTGGGGCGGAGTAGGAGGCAGCTGGGGCGGAAGCGGCTCCGGAGTAGTATTCGGGGGCCGAGTAGCTCTGGGCGGGTGCCGAGTAGCTCTGGGCGGGTGCCGAGTAGGACACAGCTGGGGCGGAGGCAGCAGCGGTGTAGGTCTGGGCAGGAGCGGAGTAGCTCTGAGCGGGAGCGGCATAGGAAACAGCTGGAGCGGAGGCAGCAGCGGTGTAAGTCTGGGCAGGAGCGGAGTAGCTCTGGGCAGGGGCGGAGTAGACTGGAGCGGGGGCAGAGGCTGCTGGGGGCAGGTAGTCGTTGGAGGGCAGGTGGCTCACATCACGGCGATGACGGCGCAGGACCACGCGCTTCTGGGTCTTGTAGCGGTATCCATCGTTAGAGGAGAAGGAGTGAGCGGGCTCGGAGGCAGCGGTCTCGTAGCTCTCAGCGGGGGCGGAGTAGGAGGCAGCTGGGGCGGAGTAAGAGGCAGCAGGAGCGGAGGCAGCAGCGGTGTAGGTCTGGGCAGGGGCGGAGTAGCTCTGGACAGGAGCAGAGTACACTGGGGCGGGAGCAGAGGCTGCTGGGGGCAGGTACTCACTGGTCGGGGCGGAGGCAGCACCCTGGAAGGGGGGCAGGTAGTCGTTGGAGGGGGCACCACGACGGTGACGGCGGAGCACCACGCGACGCTGGGTCTTGTAGCGGTATCCATCGTTGGCCGAGAAGGTGTGGGCGGGCTCGGAGGCGGCGGTCTCGTAGCTCTCAGCGGGGGCGGAGTAGGAGGCAGCTGGGGCGGAGGCAGCAGCGGTGTAGGTGGCAGCAGGAGCAGAGTAAGAGGCAGCTGGAGCGGAGGCAGCAGCGGTGTAGGTGGCAGCAGGAGCCGAGTAGGAGGCAGCAGGAGCAGCATAAGACACGGCTGGGGCGGAGGCGGCAGCAGTGTAGGTCTGAGCTGGAGCGGAGTAGCTCTGGGCAGGAGCAGCATAAGACACAGCTGGGGCGGAAGCGGCAGCGGTGTAAGTCTGAGCAGGAGCCGAGTAGGAGGCAGCTGGGGCAGCATAGGACACAGCTGGAGCGGAGGCAGCAGCCGAGTAGGTGGCAGCCGGAGCAGAGTAAGAGGCAGCTGGGGCGGCATAAGAGACGGCCGGAGCCGAGGCAGCAGCCGAGTAGCTGGACTCAGCGGGGGCGGAGTAGGAGGCAACCGGGGCCGAGGCCTCTACGCTGTAGCTGGCCGCGGGAGCGGAGTAGGAGGCCACCGGGGCGGAGGCGGCTCCATGGCGAGGAGGCAGGTACTGGCTGGAGGGCAGATGGCTCACATCGGCGGCCACGGCGGCTACGAAGGCGCAGAACAACAAGAGTTTCTGCAATGGAAGAGATGCCACAAATGGATTAGTATGTTATCCTGGTGAGGCACCAATCCTGGCTAGTACCATTTTGCTGGGTGCTCGGCTGTCCAGTTGATCGGAGAGTGCAAGTGGAAGTGATGCCTTCTGCCAGGTTCTGCCGCTTATTTATATGATTCTAATCAGCCGGCCTGCGGCAGGAAATTTGCATTTGGCTCTTTTAATTTATGAATTTGTATTTAGTGACACCGCCAAAAAACATATCCATTATAGTTTTGCAATCAGGTTTGCAACGGGTTTTGCGCTCTACGATACACTGTGCGCCGGGGTCTTCCCCCTTTAACCCCCAGCCCAAAACGGCCACTTAATATTTTTTAATATATATTTCGTTGATACTTAGTGGCCAAGATCAGGTTCCATTGTTCCCCCCATCCGCACTCGCCAATTTCTCCCAGGCCAACGCGTGCCGATTCTGATCGACTCCAGCTCAATTTGCTTAATTATCGATAATTATATTGCAGCTTAATCAACTAATACCTGATTGGGTTCTATGACTCCGGATCATAAAAGCAGATGCTCGATTGCGGAGCGGAGAAAAGGTCGCAAACAGTTGGTATAGAAGCGAAAAGCGAAATGACTGCCGAAAAAGGCAATCAAATTGCGGAAATAATCACAATCTCAATGCCGAAACAATAGATCTGACTGTCCAAGTCGATTGTATGTCAAAGCCTGAATGAAAACCTGAACAAAAGAACCGACTTTCGGAAAGAAACTCTAACACAGATCAAGTCTACAGAAACCAAACAATATACTAACCATAACTTAAAACAAGGTACTTATCGAATTTGCTTTTATAAAGAATTTAATAAAGTCATTTTAATGCTCGAACGCATAAAGAATAATAAGAAGTGTATCAAAGTTATCACATCATTTATGTTTTTTAACCTACTTAATTAATTTAGTTTTATAAATTAAATTAATTAGGGAAAAGATCGCAAAAAAATTTATTATATCAGTTTTTTTCAACAAAGTGTTGAATACATTGGATTTTGTACTTGTTTTCTAATGTACGTTAATAATTAAGGTTAATAGAGTTATATAAATTCTATCAATACAGTTATTTAGTGTAGATCCTTCAACGTTTATATGCTAATTCTTCAATTAACTAAAAATTATATTAATGAGACATTCTCTGCAAAGAAATATATATACCCAGTATTTTATAGGCAAGCGGTCTTTAAGCGTCAAGCAGGCTTGAACTTTTTGAAGATGAGAGTGCGGAAGCATTGACAGAAATAGATTCGGAATTAATTCGATTATATGTCAAGTTTACATTATTTGCCTAAGCCCACACTTTTATATCTATAATTAGATTGCTAAATTGATTGCCTCTGCAAACACTTATCTGCATTACTTATTAGCTTTGGTGAATCACGGTATAGGAAACTTTAATAAAGTGCTTAATACATTTATAAAATTTAAAGTTCTGCTTTATATAATTGTTATTTGTTTTTGTTTCATTTTGATTGAGGTTTCTTATACTCTCCTCATTTACAACAACATTTAATTGTTATATAAATTATACTTCCAAACACCCAAGATGCCTTCTTACTCTACCACTAGCTGCTTAGATTGCAAAAAAGAAACACACTTTTAATTTATGGATTCGTTATCGTATTATTGTATTTGTTTGAATGAAAAGGAGGTATTCTAATAGTAGGGCCTGCACTCCAAAATGAGCACAAATCGATCACCTAGTGAAGCCGTTATCGCATGGTTTAGTGGCGGCGGATCACAACGCGCTTGTGGGTCTTGTAGCGGTAGCCATCATCAGCCAGGACATGGGCGGGAGCCACCTCGACGGTGTTCTCCACGGGGGCCAGGTACTCGGCGGAGGGAGCGGCGACCTCCTGCACGGGGGGCAGGTACTCGTTGGACAGCTCGTTCACATCGCGACGGTGGCGACGGACAACCACACGCTTGTGGGTCTTGTAGCGGTAGCCATCATCGGCGAGAACGGTCTCGGGGGCAGCCTCAACGGGAGCCAAGTACTCGTTGGAGGGAGCGGCGACTTCCTGGACAGGGGGCAGGTACTCGTTGGACAGCTCGTTGACATCGCGACGATGACGACGGACAACCACGCGCTTGTGGGTCTTGTAACGGTAGCCATCATCAGCCAAGATAGTCTCGGGCTCAGCCTCAACTGCAGCGACCTCCTGGACAGGGGGCAAGTACTCGTTGGACAGCTCGTTCACGTCACGACGGTGGCGACGGTAGACCACGCGACGGTGGGTCTTGTAGCGGTAGCCATCATCAGCCAACTCATGGGCGGGCTCAGCCTCAACCTCGACGGGAGCGGGAGCGGCCAGCTGGACGGGGGCGGCGATCTGGACTGGAGCGGGAGCGGGGGCAGCAACCTGGACGGGGGCGGACACAGGGGGCAGGTACTCGTTGGATGGAGCGGCAGCCTGGACAGGGGGCAGGTACTCGTTGGAGGGCAGGTGGCTCACATCACGACGGTGACGGCGGACAACCACGCGCTTGTGGGTCTTGTAACGGTAGCCATCATCGGCGAGAACGGTCTCGGGGGCAGCCTCAACGGGAGCCAAGTACTCGTTGGAGGGAGCGGCGACTTCCTGGACAGGGGGCAGGTACTCGTTGGACAGCTCGTTGACATCGCGGCGGTGGCGACGGACAACCACGCGCTTGTGGGTCTTGTAACGGTAGCCATCATCAGCCAAGATAGTCTCGGGCTCAGCCTCAACTGCAGCGACCTCCTGGACAGGGGGCAGGTACTCGTTGGACAGCTCGTTCACATCACGACGGTGGCGACGGAGCACAACACGACGGTGGGTCTTGTAACGGTAGCCATCATCGGCAAGCTCGTGGGCGGGCTCAGCCTCAGCCTCAACTGGGGGCAGGTACTCGTTGGAAGGAGCGGCAGCCTGGACAGGGGGCAGGTACTCGTTTGACAGCTCGTTCACATCGCGACGGTGGCGACGGACAACCACGCGCTTGTGGGTCTTGTAACGGTAGCCATCATCAGCCAGGACAGTCTCGGAAGCAGCCTCAACTGGAGCCAGGTACTCGTTGGAAGGAGCCACGGCCTCCTGGACAGGGGGCAAGTACTCGTTGGACAGCTCGTTGACATCGCGACGGTGGCGGCGGAGCACCACGCGCTTGTGGGTCTTGTAGCGGTATCCATCAGCAGCCAGCTCGTGGGCGGGCTCGGCCTCAGCCTCCACGGGGGGCAGGTACTCGTTGCTGGGGCCAGCGATGATCTGCTGCTCCTGGACGGGAGGCAGGTACTCGTTGGAGGGCAGGTGGCTGACATCGGCAGCCACGGCTGCGATCACGGCGAAGGCGACCAGGAAGAGTTTCTGCAAGAAACAGTGGAGGGGAGGTAAGTGGTAAGTGGTACGTGGGCTTAGTCCTTCAGTGATGGCTCGATTGCAAAGCGTTGTCAGCCAGAGAGCTGGATCGTACCATGTTGTCCGTTGAGTTGCTTGTTCACAGCAGTAAAACTGAAACTCTAATGAGGAATACGCAGAACCTTTTGGTATTTATACAGATTCTCCGCTCTTCGCTGGCCATTACAGAGCTGGCTTTTTTGGCCCTCTGCCCGCAAAGACGTCGCTGCCGACGCGGGCGTCTGTAAATTCGCACGATTTCGGCTTTGGCTTTGGCTGCGGCTTTGTGGAGCTGCGGGTTCTAAGCCGCTCTTTTGCGGCTTAAACGCTGCTCGGCTAACACGATCGACGGCGGCTGCGACGCTTACATTCGCACAAACTCAAGCTCGCGAGCTGTTGATGGCTAAAAAAAAAGTTTAATGGCCAAAATCGTTCGCACGGATTCTCTTAATTGTTTTATTTAATCATATGCAAAAGATTTGATGGACATCCACGTTTTGGACAACTCGAGCGCGCGGACACACACATCAGTTCGCATAAACTTTGCTCTCTCATCTTGTTTACACCTCGTTGTATTTTGTATTTGTTTTCGCCTGCCTTGTTTCATTCAAGCCGCCGCTGTATTGCGCTCGATTAAAATTCAAATGATGAGTTATATGTTTCAATCAAATTCGCTCACTTCAATGGATTTGGAGCCCCAGCTGAAAGACGATTACTTTGATCGCAGCCTCTTCTCTTTGTGGCGATGTCGTCGCTGTTCATTAATCAAGAAAGAGGAACTGACCGAGCGAGGCATTCAATTTTTGGAAATATGATATAATTATGCATGATGCCTATGAATTGTTCAAGTTTGTAAACAGAATGCCGGATATTGTATTGAGAGCCATCGAGAGTACCCTCTTGTCGATTCTTAGAATAAATTATTTTAAACGGATGCAAGCTAAATCAGTTTGGTTTTATTCTAAAGAATTTTTAGAAACAATGACCCATATATTTCGAATAATTATACATTGACTAAAGAACAAATACATTTTATTCAATTCCGAAACTTCTTATAAGTTTAAGTTAAGTTAAGTTGTTATAACAACTTTGTCTATGCATTCAGTAAAAAAGCCAATAAATTATAAAAAAACAAATAATCAGCATACCTGCTTTGAATAATATAAATACATTTTTTCAAATATTATTAAGTCTTTATATGTAGGTAGAAGTTTGCTTGGAAAGATATGAATTTTGTAATGATATCTCGTCCAATTTCGTTTATAGCTTCAAACTATTATATATAATATGTTATGCTTAATATTTACAAACTAAATAAAGTCTTAATAGGTAAAAGTTTATTTATTTCATATATCGTGCAATTTCGTCAACAGCTTAGCATTGTTCTATATCACCCAGATTTGACATTTGAGTTGCAACTGATTTTTCGGGCACTCCTGTTTATGGCCTCTCACTTAAGAGTATTGTTTGAAAATTAAACATGGACATGCATGAGATGTTCGAATAAATCAAGTAAAGTTGCCCGCACCAGTATTTAGTTGAGCTTATTTATGAGTATATTTGTTTTTAAACGCACGCTTCAGCTGATAAAAGGGGATTAAATGTTCAAATCAACATTATTTATGCGTTTAGAAGAGGAAGGCAGCCCATCAATTCAAGCCAATCAATTTGTTTAGAGCCAAAGTAAATCGAAGACTGCAGTGGCTACTCTTCAGCCATGATTAATGATAAATTCGGAGAGGGGGAGTACATGTTTATTTTGGCCATATTGCGATGTATTTGCAACATCGAAGCCAAAAAGTCAGCCATGAAGCAAGGCTCGTTAGAGGTGCCAAGAACTAATCGGTTCCGTAAAACTGAAGGATAAACGATGACTAACCAGTGCCGATCGATTCTGCGAAATTCAATTTTTGATGGGTCAAAGTAGAGCTGCGAAAGTCAAGGCCATGATCTATGTGGTTGCCCGGAATTGAAGATATTGATGGCGTTTTGGGATGGTAGTAGCTTAGTGAGGGGGATTGTGCCGGTGATGGTGATGGATGGTTGTCACGCGCCACCAATCGGCACCTCATCTCATACTAGCCGACGAAAGTCGAGGCTCTCGGAAGACGGGTCTTTATAGCACCAGTTTGGCTAATTAACGCGGGCCATAAAGAAGTTGGCCAGTATCAAATAACAACTATATCATTTTTCCTATTTCCAAATGCATTAAGATTTAGAGCCTTACAATTCTGGTTTTGTTTTCCATTGTTCGCCTGAGATAAATCATTTCATTTCCTGTGTGTGTGCAGCACTAAAAAAATAGTCGCAAACTGCGAGTATTAACGAGCTGAATTTATGGCTTTGCCAATTTACATTTTAATCTCTGTAGTTCTAGCATATTCTATAGTTGTGACTTCTATGGTCCAGTTGTCCATAAATGTTCTACACGCATGCTGCCAGTCAATAGATCACGATAAGCCAACGCATCATCGCCGGCTCAACTGCTTATTGTTATTATCCATCAGTAGTTCGGTGAGCCGGTTCGAACACTTAAAAGTTCCATTTTGGAATCGGTGTTTATGCCGAAAAATAGCAAAATATGCAAATTAGTGAATGGCAGACAGGGTCCCATATTCGCCCCATAGAATGGGACAAAAACCCATCATAATGGCCACAGACAACACTGAAATTGTCAGCTCTGCTTAAAATACATAAGCGTGGGCCCCGCGAATTAGCGTAACCCACAAAAAGAAACCTGGAGAGTGGATTGAATCGACTGATTGTGTTATCGGATAATAAATGGGCACGTTTGATCAGACTCCCCAAATGGAGTTTCCGAAACGCTATATTCCAGATTCAGACTGTCTTCGCAGTCGTCTTTGCTTTTGCTTTTGCATAATCCCACAGGTCGCGTCGCTCTGTCTAACAAAAACCATTTCGTGTGGCTTAATTTATGCAAATTCTATTCTAATTAATATTATGACCATTCGATTTTTTGCGATCTCTATGAGCTTAACAGGCGGCCACTTCTTTCTCGTGGCTGATGCCTTTCCTTTGTCTTAGTCTTTGTTTTTTGGCCGGCATAGTCACACGCGCTTGTTAATTTAGTTTTAAAGATACTCTAACTGGGCAGGTTTTTTGTAGATCTAAAGTATTATTAAACTTAATTTAAATATCAAAAAGATTTAAAATTCAAATTAAACAAAGCTTTATATTTTATATATATTTATATAATAAATAAACAAATGTTGCTTAAAAACATATTCTTCAGCATTTAGGGAGTTATTTTTATTCTTTCTTTTTTATTCAACAAATTTGTTAAGTATTTTTATACTATGTTTAACAAGCAAATGTTTTTTGAAATAATGAGTAAAAATATGTCGTTTTGAATTGATCCTAGCATCAAAGGATCCTTCAAATTTATTTTTTTAAAGACAATATTACCATTTTTTTACTAAATTGTTTTATAATATTTTTTCTATGTTTAAGATTCATGTGATTTCTGAAATAAAGAGTAAAATCATGTCGTGTTAGAAAGACCCTTATCTTAACTAGCCAAGTACACGTTTTAGTCTTTTATGATAAATTTAACGTTTTTTCAGCCTGTGATGCTCTTTTTTAGCTTAACTAAAATGTATGATAAATCATTCTGGAAACCCGTTTTCAAATCGCCCCACTCTCCTGAGCCGGCGACTAGAAAGTGCCACCATGAAGCGCATCTCCAGCGGTCAAAAAAACAAAACAAAACCGAAAAAAAGCCAAGAAATATAAATATACAAAAATCAACGCCAAGCAACAGGGCAACAAAAAAGATCTCCGCACACTTTTAACACTCGGCTCGGGGCCAATAAATAATGGATTCGCGTGGCAGCCGAAATTTGGCAAGTTCCTTTCATGTAATTCTGACTCTAATTCTAATTTTGATTCTTATTCTGATTCTTATTCGGATTCTCTGGGGCCCGCGGCTCATCGAGTGGTTTTCTGTTTGATGGCTGATGGAAAAATGAGGCTTAAAGTGCGATCGGTCTTGAAAATTATTTTCGGTTGTGGGCTGTCTAAAATTATTTATGTGGCTGCCAAGTGCTGAAAATTAATCATCCCAGCATGTGGATGCGGAGCTCTTCGATTTCTTCGGCTATGTTTATCGGATGACGCAAGGCGGCGTTACATGAGATTGGATTAGTTCTGATCCCAAAAATTCTCTTAAAACGCAGATCTAGCTTTATGTTGGTCATCTGGAAAAGCATTCAATGATAGATTCACAGAAAGAAATTAACAAATGTATTCTCGTTTTAGCGCTCACAACTTTTGGTAATAAATAAAACGGGTTTTATTATAAGAAATTAAATATTCATTTCAAATAAATATGCAAAATCGATGAAAAGTAATTAAATTAAAGTGTTTGTATGTTAGGCTGAACAAGCAATTCATATATATATTTTTTTAATATTGGAATGGAAACGCTTTCGGACTATTAATTTAAATTTAAAAACTATTTGACTATTGAAAAAATATTAATTAAAAATTGACTTAATTTTTGTACAGTGCAATCTTTTGTATGGCATTAATACCATTTCTATATTTCAGACTTTTTATGAGTTTAAAAGTTTAGTGGGTAATTGAGATTTATAATTTTAAATTTAAAAGCCATCTAATGCTTTCTTCAGTGCCGCTGGAAAATCATTAATTAGATGGCCCGCAATGTTTGAGGGCAATAATTGCCAAAGAAGCGGGTGGCTCACGGATCATTGAACTCGACCAGCACCACGATGAACCCACCACTCACTCGCTTTGCATAGCCACAAGCCGGCGAAATTCGCACAGACATCATCCAAAATTTATTTCTGTAATCAGCGGGCTTTGAATGGCTCAGCGGTCTCCGTTAATTTTATGCCAAGAGCTCCTCCGTAGAGTTTGATCCGAAAGTTTGCCATAAATTATTTTAATTTAATGCTACTTGTAGCCATCTTTTGTTTGCCCTGTTGTGGGCATTTGGCTCACTTAAGCGGGCTAATTTCACCGGGAGAAGTGCGCTGATTTATAGACCGCAGAGCTGAGAGCTTTCTATGGGCCGCAGTATTGGGTCAAGAGCCGACGAGATCGGCTAATCCGCTCTGACCTACAGTCGGCCCGAAAATAGACGCACATGCAAATAATGGAATAATGGACGGCCCACGTTTGATTTAGGAGTCCATTCGCTAATGTTGACATTGATTGGCGAATTTGAACATTACTAAGGCCCGCCTTTATACTGCCTAAAAGTAATAATCATAACAAACAAAACACACAACGCGCAGACTTTTAGCCATAGGTCACACCAAAAACGGATCCACTGAATCTGTTTGGCCAGCTCACTCACCTCTATGCAGTCAACTGGCCAAGATTTGCTGCCCGGTGAAACAATAGATTTTGTTTTATTTCTATTTTGATATCGGCTGATTGGATTTGCATGAGAATCGAATCTAAATTATTGCATAAATTTATGTCGACAATTCATTTTGTGAAGCCTCTCTCTCGCTCTGAATCTTTATGTGTCTGGTGCTCTGAACAAGTTTTCTTTCCGGATTATATATATATATACAACTTTTCCATCAAAGCTAATGGCTATTGTCAGAACATAAACACCCTTATTTATTATCACGTTTTGTCCTATGTAAATACGGTTTGCTAAAATTAATTTGAACCAATCAATCCATTAAGAACAAACAATAAATATCATGGTCTAAATTGTATGTTTACTGGTTTAAAATTGGAGTAAAAGCTCTTTTTTGGAAAGCTTTAATCGCAAAGCCGTGTAAAATACTCGACAAACTTCAAAGAGGCGGAAACGGAAATGAAAACCATATTAAGTGCCCAAAAGTATGCCATACAAAATTAAACAATCTTTCTTTGACTGCTCTTATAGCAAATGCTGATAAGTATGATTTAATTTCGAGTATTATATGTTGTGTTATTATAAAAATTTAAAACTCGAAGCTTTGCTTGGGCTTCTGGTAGTGATAACCATCTTCACGGTAATCGGTGTCGTACTCAGAGGCAGAAGTACCTTGGTCCACATTGTTTCGCTTTTTGCTGCTCCTGTGGGATCGGTGTTTTTTTGGAGCCACAACATAAGAAGATTGCCGATTACTGGCTGCAAATCCCAAGAATCCCGGCTGAGCATCGTCATCTGAGTCATCATCATCGGGTATGAACACTGAACGCTGATTGGGATTGACCGACACCAAAGCCTGGTGATGATGACCATGATGTGGATCGCTGTAGAAGTTTCCATCGATGATGTTGGTGTCCTGCTGGTTGCCCAAAGCATTTGTAGGACCCTGAAGATTTGGCTGACCAAATACGTTGCCATTTAGCACATTGAGACCTTGGTAGTTGGATCGGTTGGGCGGACGTCGGTTGAGTCGTGGTACTTGACCCGCCGCCAATTGAGCACCCACAGAGGGGTCAAACTGACCCTGGTTGGGAACAAAGGCTCCCTGATTGGCGGCCAACTGAGCTCCTGGATTAGGTCGCTGGTTGGGCACACCCTGAGCTGCTCCAAGTTGTGCACCCAAAGCGGGATCAAAAGATGCCTGTCCTTGTGGTCTCTGGTTGGGCACACCTTGGCCAGCTCCAAGTTGGGCACCCAAAGCGGGATCAAAAGGCGCTCCAAGCTGTAAATTGGGATCGATTTGATTTTGCAAAGGTGCCTGAGGACGTTGAGCCACTGGTGCCTGGCCACCTCCAAAGGATGGGTTAAAAGGGGCACCAGCACCTGCTTGTGCGCCAAAAGAAGGATCAAATCCTTGACCAGCTCCAAGTTGAGCTCCTCCAGCAGCCTGTTGATTTCCGGCTGCTGCATTTCCAATGGCTCCCAGTTGAGCAGCCAACGAGGGATCCACAAAGAAGTTGAGTCTTTTGTCACCTCCATATCCTCCAAAGCCACCATAACCAGGACGCGATGGAGGACGCTGGCCATTGCCCAGAACAGCCAGCTGGCCACCGGGAATGGGAGCAGGTTGGCTGGCTGGCAAATTAGCTCCAGTGGGGGCCAGGGCACTGGCCGGAAGCTGAGCTCCAAGGGGATCGGAGGGTCCACAGCCAGGTGCCACGTTGCCGGGTCCAATGAACTGGCAATTGGGTCGAAAACCTGCTCCAGTCGGAGCCTGAGCTCCTGTCGGCGCTTGAGCTCCAGTCGGATCCTGTGCTCCTGGCGTGAGTGAGTTCAACTCCGAGTCCTGCGACTGCACATTGATCTGAGTGTGAGTGTGGAACACCGAATTGGGGGCACTGGCATACAGGATACGACTTGGCCGCCGACGACGATAAACCACTTGAGTGGCGGCAGGAGTAAATAGATCTCTATTGTAATCCGTACGAACATGGGGCTTGCTGTGCTTATAGTGGATGTGCTCCGTCTTCACCTCCGGCTTTTTGTCATAGTGATGGTAGTGATCGACTCGCTGCTTCTTTGGCTCCTCATGGTGGTACTCCTTGGGCTGCTCCTTGTAGTGCTTTGGCTCCTCATGCTCATCCTCCTTGTGGTAGACCACTTCGCTGGTGTGCTTTTCCTTCTTGTAATAAGGTTGTTCCTCCTCATGGGAATCCTCATCCTGATCCTCATGTTCCCTGGAGTGATGATGCCGCTGGTGCTTGTGGTGTTTCACATGGGAAACATCGGCCAGGCAGGCGATTGCCAAAAGGCTTAAAATCAGGACTATGAAGATTTTCTGAAATTTAAAGTATTTAATTAAGCTGAGAACCCCAACCAATCGTTGATCTCTCACCATTGCTCAAGTGCCAGTGATACCATCCAAAAGTGGATGCAACTTTTATACTCTTTACGGACATATTTTGGTTGCATCCCCACATCGAGCCCCTAAAATCAGGCCAAAATCGAAAGCGAAACCTGTTGTTGAGCGTGAGAAATCGATTCTGCGCTTTATGTGACCCATTTGTTCTTATTGAATAGCCGCAATTTAAATTCTAATGAATATTCCCAAGCACAACGAAAGTGTCCCGTAAATTTGTCAGATCAAAGCGTTCGAATTTATTGGCCTAAGTGCGCTGCACATGCCATCGATAACATATGGGTTTCTTGATCTCACTTTTCTGGCTAATGTTTTTGCCTAGCTTGACAACAAGTAACGAAAGTGAAAGTGAATAGATATTTTAAATTTATTGCATAAGAAATTCTGGAATACCGAGTGTTAGTATAGGTTTAATTTTGTTCGATCTGGGTCAGCATTAATAATTCAAGTATCGTTAAATCTAGAAACTTTGTGGTATTCACATCTTAGTAATAATACAATTTTATTAAATTAAAAAATATGAATTTTTTAAATATAAATCAAAGTTAACTCTTTAATCGTTGCGGCTCCACCTTTTTTGTTTCTAAAAGCTTTGAATGTATATGTTATTAAATGCTTAAAAATGTATAAAGGTGATTCGGTAAAAAACCTTTTATGTGGTTCTGAATTTAACTTTGAAAACTGAGAACTATTTCCGCATAAATGCATCGAAACCAGCAGAAGTTTCTTTATAAATATTTCGCTCTATTAACATCTTGAGGTATTCATAGAAAATGAAGTCATATTAACTTTGAATCATTCATTTGAGAATTGCATTCCAGTGCTAATTCTGCTATTAATATTCATTAATAATGATTTAAGGTTGTTGCTCTTACTCTTCAATTTTTGACATGGTTTTGAATTATTGAGACAACACTCTTTTCCTCATTTGTTTTTTCGTTGTTTCTTTAGCAGAAACTATACTCCCTACCATTCTTGAATAATAAGCCAATTATCATATTATCTTTATGAATATTTTATTGTTGTCGCATTATTTTGATGCTCAAATAAAACTACATGTTTTCATAATTTTTTACTGCGCTTTTATTGTCGTTTTGTATAATCGTTTGAACATAATCATTAGCATTCCTAAGCGCGGTGCTTGAACACACGGCGACGGACGGTCTTGTACTTGTATCCCTGCTGGCTGGCCGCGGGCTGGGCGTAGTCGTATCCGGAACGGGCAGCTGCGGGGGCGGAAGCGGCGGCCTCGAACACTGGACCGGAGGACTCGATGGAAGGTGCGGGTGCGGGTGCGAAGGATTGCACTGGAGCGGGAGCGGGAGCTGGGGCAGAGAAGCTCTGGACGGGAGCAGAGGCGGCGGCATGGTGGTGCACTGGAGCAGGGGCGTGGTGGTGCACCTGGGGAGCGGGAGCATGGTGGTGCACCTGAGGAGCGGGAGCATGATGAACCTGAGGTGCGGGTGGCACATAGGTCCTCACTGGAGCGGGGGCAGACTCAGCGGCATGGAAAACTGGAGCGGGAGCTGGGGCAGCCACTGGAGCGGGAGCAGGGGCAAAGGTCTGGACGGGAGCAGGAGCAGAGGCGGCGGCATGGTGGACTGGAGCTGGGGGCACATAGGTCCTCACTGGAGCGGGAGCAGACTCGGCGGCATGGAAAACAGGAGCAGGAGCTGGGGCAGCAACTGGGGCTGGAGCGGGAGCTGGGGCGAAGCTCTGCACAGGGGCAGAGGCGGCGGGAGCGGGGGGCACATAGGTTCTCACTGGGGCAGGAGCGGAGGCAGCCTGCTGGAAAACGGGAGCAGGGGCAGAGGCGGCAAAGTGCTGATGAGCCTGTGGAGCCGAGTACGATCTCACGGGAGCGGGAGCTGGGGCATTATAGTTATAGCCCGATTCGGCAGACACACAGCCAACCACAGCCAAAGTCAAGATGAAGAATTTCTGCAAATAATAAAGTAAACAAAAAACAATCAACTATAATCCTCAAACACATCTAAGCAGATCCTTACCATTTTCGAAGATCTGTTTGCTTTAGAGGCAACGAATCGAATAATGTCTTAGACCAGCGACTCCTGTTCTTTTATACAAATCTGCGAATTGGCGGTTGCAAACGGAAGTGTTGAGTATCATAAATCAACGAAACGTTTTTCGCGTCGAAAAATTGTTTAATTAGGCAAACAGATACCTCGACCACGGCACCAGATGGGGCTTGTTTTTATCAGTCGGAGGTACGGCACGGAGTTTGGATTAAAAACTCTAATTTTTTTTGCCTGTCATTTGGTATATAAATATTCATTAGAATACCCATATCACAGCTTTATTTTATTTTTGGCAAAACAATATTATCGCAAACCTGATAGTTTAGTTTCGTGTCAAAGCAAAGAGCTTTTTTAATTCACCTAAGCTTTTGGCAAAACTAAACTTGTGTTTGGATTTAATTTAAACAGTAGCTCGGATCTATTTATAAGTCGATCCAGACCAAGAGGTATCACAATTAACTGGTCATAAACTAGACGAGTTAGCAGTTAAGTTTATCCACAGCTAAAGCTAATGACTTTATGTTCCGCTAACTGGATTGATTGAGTGATTGATTAATTGCTCGGGGATGATTTCAAGTTCGCGGTTTCGTTCAAACATATTGAGGTCTCAAATGTTTCCTCTAGAGGTTAATGGCTTCGGGGTCCCTTTTTGTATAGTTACCGCATTTGATTTGAGCTAACGCCCTTTACTAAGCAAAGTCTTTGTTTATATTTCTAAGCTTTCTTTATTGTTTGTTTTTAACTAATTCGGGAATATGCAAATTGGTGTTATCGAATCGAGACATGCAAATATACACATTAAATGTATTTTTGCATTTCTTTGCTGAGCTGGAGAATTAGCATTAGAATATAGTTGGCGGCGTGGGTTAAACCACAAACCAGTTGACTTGTTTGCTGCTCAGAGATGTGGTTTTATTCTTTCGATTGGGTTGATGTTGATGATTCATCTTACTGGGGTGGCAGATAGGTGTTGCGGGGTGGCAGGTAGGTGTTACGTGGGGCAGCCACGGAGATCACTTGTGGAACTGGGCGAGAAATCACTTGAGATGGCGGCAGGTAGGTGTTACGGGGCACAGAAACTGGAACAGGACGAGCAATGGTCTGCAGTTGAGGGGCAGAACGATGAATCGCTTGAGGCACCACCCTGTGGGCTGGGGGCAGATAGGTGTTTTGTGGCTGCACCACCGGACGGCGGATGATCTGCTGCTGAACCCTCGGAGCAGAGATCACATGGGGCTGCTGCACCTGGACTTGAGGTGGCAAATAGGTCCTGGACAGAGAACTGGCACCTACCACTCCCAGCAGAGCCACTGCAAAAGCCACAAAGTAAACACGCTGACGGGAGAAAAACTTTCCGTTAATCCTGATTTCGCAATTATTAAAAACAAATCCGATCGAAACCCACCATGTTGATCACTGAAAGTCGAACAATTAAACTGTTTTTTTGCGAGCGAAACATTTGGTATTTATAAGACATTTTGGGTGGAACCCCAAAACATATAGTATATCAAATAATATTCTGTTTGAATCGTTTGCATTTGTATGGGTATTGTCTTTTTTGAATGCAGTAATCTGGCAAAATGCCGTTGCGACTGCGACCCATAAATAAAAGGCAGTAGTCCAAACACTGGTTCCATGTCTGCAATAAAACAATTACGCGAATCAATATGAGTTAGAATTTTTCAAATTGAAAGTAGCTCATCAAGTCAATAAAATCCATTTAGGTAGATGCTTTCACTTTTTTTTGGGGATTATGAGCTAACAAATAAGTAGCAGTAAATATTGTATTTTATTAAAAGGTCAATAACGAAATACTCTTTATTTATTTTCTAGCTAACAACTGAGTAAGTAGTTCAGCTACATTTTCAATTTGGTTAATTAGTTAATTAGCTTACAATATTAAATATTAAAAGTTCAAAACCAATAAAAAAAAATTTTGCAAAAAATTGTGATGTAACCCATTAAAAAAATCCGAAAATTGGTAAAAGAAAAATATTTTTTAAAAATTTCAAATTTAGAGACAACAAAAAATAGAGAATTAGAATTTATTCCTTATCCAGGTATTTGAATTATGGTTTGAATTGTTTAATTGTTTTATTAAAATCTAAATAGAATTTGCAGAGATCTTAATACTCTTTGCATATAGAGTATATTTTGTTAAGATTTATAGCCCACATATTAATTATATGACACCATGCATGCCTGTCTGGCTAAACAACGATAAAACGGGTTAAGGCTGGGGCTATCTTGGATCATTTTTAAGATGTAACAAGTCAACAAAGACCAACTTTCTTGAGAACTTGTGGAAAAAATGTTACAAATAAATCATTGTCATGGCTAACCCAAAGAAAATATATGTTTCATTACAATGAGTTAATAAGACAACTATCTTGGCTTGCTTTGGATTTAATTTTTTTTCTTATAAATAAAATATAATTTTATTTTTGAAATCTGCTAATTGAATTTATTTTTAATTTTTATTTTGTAAATATTTTATTAATATAATTTTATTATATTTTTAAATCAGCTACTTTTTCGTGATCGCAGTTATTTAAAGTCGTGATCTGCTGCGTATTGGCCTTAACAGAGTAAGCCGAGACACGAACCAGCAAATGTTAACGGCAACGACTGCTTCAAAGATGATGTTAAATTATACTTCGAATTTATGTGCTCTTAATGCAGATTTATACAGCCAGAAAGAAATTTTGTTGTATTTTTAATGAACTTTAGCTTTTTGTTGTTGTTGTTGTTTCTGTTGTCGGTTTGTTGGTTTCGCGGTTTCGTTTTGTTCGCGCCAAAAGTTGCCAAACATCCAGTAAATATTGGCCTGTAGTTAGTTGGCTGTGTTAACTCTCGGCTTCCGTTGCCAGCGGCTAATTGATGCCCACATTATCGCTGCCCCTTTGAAGATTAATGCCTGGCATTAGGTGGTGGCTTATGCTGGGATTGATAAACGGTTTTCAAAATTATTTGCATGCATCGGTAGGAATTCGGATTCGGATTCAGTTTCAGTTTCAGATTCGGTTTCGGATTCGGTTTTGTCTGGAGGGGGTAACTCACAGATAGGTATGAATAGAACAAACTTGTTCTTAATTATGCCTAATGTGAAATTTATAAACACTAAATTCAAAAGCATTCACCAAACTAATTGAACCGGTTTCGGGATCGGTTCTGCGGCTCTGCAATTTCCGATCCCCGTCATCCGAAATCGACGCACGCGTGTTTAGCAGTGCACATATTTGGCTATTTCAACAAAACGCTGTGCAAATACATTGGGTAGAACACACATTTGCGATGATATATATTGGTGCTATATATTTGGGACTACGACTGCAGAATTCTAAACTCGTTTACCGTTGCGTGGCATTTACCCAGCATTCATCTAATTAAAAGGCAGGCAGAAGCGGTGTTTGCATTTCGGATGAAGTAATCAGAGCTAATTTTTAATATCAGCGGGTTGATGATGATGGCCTGAGAACTCATTTAAATGCCGGAAACTTTGATCCGATCAGGTCAAAACACACATCAAATTCCGACAAATTGGCTGAGTCGCCAAAAGCTAAATGAGCCATCTCAAGTTTCCAATGACTATGGCATAACATTTAACAATCACTTGATTGACGACATAGTCCAATTCATGACGTATACCAACTGACTTTGAAACCAGATTCCATCGTTACTAAAACTTCTGCCCTATGGATTGCGTAATAAATCTACTAAATAGACTTTAGACCGAAAAACCCCCCAATTTCTAAAAAAAGAACAGCATAAATTTATAATTGCGCCGGTCAACGATCGACCTAGCCATGTTTGGTGGGAATTCTTGGAATTCAACCATCTTCAACGTCATAACCGAAGAGGAAAATAATATGCTTGAATGGCAAAGCAATTAACGCCACAAACTGAAGAGAAAGATTTGTGTGCGATTATGGTTGCAAAAATAAATTGATTTAATTAAAATTCAAATCGATTGTATAACAATCGGGTTTGAGCGTAGGAATTTAAATGACCAACATTAAAAATCAGTTTAAGAGTGCAACTTTTGCATTTGCGTAAATCGGTTCGTCAATTGGCCCGAACCGGGAACAGGAATCTGGAACAGTGGGTTAAGAGTGTATGGATTGAGTGTTTTGTTTGGATTGCAGTTGTCCTTGCAACGAGCCAAGGCAAAGGTCAGTTTGAGGTGGCAACCGGTTCCATCTGTTGACTGACCCTTCTCCACTCGGTTGATTCATGCACCTGGATGACGTTGTTGCCCTTCGAGAGTGTGAGTAATTGCAAAAATTCGATAATTCCGAACCACGAGCGGAACTTTGAAGAATTTATGCAAATCCCCCTACGCTCTCTGCTCTCATAAATAAAACATTCCAAATCGGTTTTATTTTAGAACCCCCCCATAGATGCGAAATTAATTTATGCTTTTCGTCGCGCTAACCAGCTCGAAATGTGGCTCCAAACTAGATTTATGTGGGGGATCAATTAAAGAGTGCCATTGTCTATGTCGCGGAGTGCGAAGTGGCTCCATCATTGCGATAGGCCCGACGACAAATTGGATGTCATAAGGAAGAGCACCCCAGCATGCTGGCTATCCAAATATTTGCAGATTATCGAGCATGAAATTGCGCACCCATGCGGGATCTCCATTATCCGTGCCCCTCCACTATGCGATCTATCCCACAGATTTGACCATATTTCACCGGTTTTTCTTGAATTCAAATTTAACTCTTTTCAAACAGCTCACGACGAGACCGCAGCCTCTGCTTTTAACTTATCATACTATATTTTTTTAAAGCTGTCATTTTGCTTTCTTTGGCTTATGATTTTTATTAGAGTCAAGCTCATTTACGTTGGTTCTATTTGGCTCTGCATGTTCTGCTTTGTTTTTTGTTCGCCTGGCCTGGCCAAATTCTAAATTTGTCGCCAAAAAATATACACATATTACGCCGACAACAAGATGGACCGTAAGTTTATGGGTGTCGTTCTGAGGGAGCTGTAGTAGAGGCAGACTGAGCCAGAGGCGTCAGCGGCAGAAGCAGCAGCAGCAGCCGCAGCAACCGCAGCAGCCGGTTAACCAACCCAAGCAGGTTCTGTTTAGTTTTCGGGGGAGAAGCTCCGACGAGAAGCTTCTGCCGTGAAATATCTTTGGGCCATCCTGAGGCGCTGCTGAACTATAAATAATGTAGACTCGAGCAGAAAAGGCACAGTCACAACTCAGCCTTTGCGGTGTTGAATTGGTTCTGAGCAAAATGGTAAGATCGGTGATCGAGGATCAAGTTCGAGTTCGAGTTCGAGGATCAAGCGCTGCACTCGGTGGTGGATACGAATACCGTGCTGGCAGATTGTGGAATACGAATGGATTTGGGAGGCTGATCATCTGACTGCTCTGTGTTTTGTCTTCCCAGAAATTCCTGATCGCTTTCGCCCTGGTGGCAGTGGCCAGCGCAGATGTCTCGCATCTGTTCTCGCACAGCAACAACCTGCAGGAGGATGGCTACCACTACAGTCCGCCCCGTGCCCCCGTCGTCATCGATGTGCCCTACGTGCCGCACGAGTCTGCCCCACCAGTAGTGGTGTATGAGGCGCCCAAGCCCAAGCCCACGCCCGCCCGTCCCGTCTACACCGCCCCCCCGGTGGTCCATCACCCCACGCCCGCTGGCGTCCTCAAGGACGATGGCTACCACTACGGCCAGCCCTCGGTGAAGTTCGAGGTTAAGGCTCCACCCCCACCCCCACCAAAGGTTGAGTACCTGCCTCCCGCACCCACCAAGAAGGTGTATGTCGCCCCACCACCAGTGTACGTGCCTCCCCCAACCAAGAAGGTCGTTGTGTACACCCCACCCCCACCACCACCACCGAAGAAGGTCGTCTACACCCCACCTCCGACTGGCATCCTCAAGGACGACGGCTACCACTACGGCCAGCCCTCTGTGAAGTTCGAGGTCAAGGCTCCACCCCCACCACCACCAAAGGTTGAGTACCTGCCTCCCGCACCCACCAAGAAGGTGTACGTTGCCCCACCACCAGTGTACGTGCCACCCCCAACCAAGAAGGTCGTCTACACCCCTCCCCCAACCAAGAAGGTCGTCGTCACCCCCAAGGTCGAGTACCTGCCCCCCGCAGAAACCAAGAAGGTCGTCGTCTACACCCCACCCCCACCACCACCGCCGAAGAAGGTCGTCTACACCCCACCCCCGACTGGCATCCTGAAGGACGATGGCTACCACTATGGTGAGCCCTCCGTGAAGTTCGAGGTCAAGGCTCCTCCTCCGGTCTATGTGCCACCCCCGCCAACCAAGAAGGTGTACGTTGCCCCGCCCCCAGTGTATGTGCCACCCCCAACCAAGAAGGTCGTCGTCTACACCCCACCCCCACCACCACCACCGACCAAGAAGGTGTACGTGGCCCCCAAGGTCGAGTACCTGCCCCCCGTGCAGAAGGGCTACAGCTACCCCAACGAC